ATGTTACAGAATTATCATGGCACTGTAGTTCAGCTCTGAAGTCAACATGGTTGAGTAATAAATATGAGATATAGTGAATATAGGTTGAAATATGGGTTTGGAAGAGATGTTAAAATGAAAGGCAGTACAATGCTTGCTTTTATCAAATAAGGGCATCATTTTAAGCCTAATTTTACTTTAGAGATTTATTAGTCTGTTCTTTTGTGTATAATACCTTGCTTTAGCTTGTTCACACTAACACACAAAATCTATTTGGTGCCACATTCCCCATCACAGACATTGAAACCACTGCTTTATGATCATGAGACAAAAAGAGCCTTGATGGAAGAATCTTCTATGGCCTGAATTGTTTCAGTGAAAAAAAAAATGTAACCCTTGTCAATTTTATGTGTGGTGTAAATATAGTAAAAGTTTTCCCAATAGCTACACAATATTTGAACTTAAATGCTTACTTAAGGGCAAATTAAACTACCCATAGAATATAGTTTAAGTGTTGTATTGAAACACATTTATAGCTTTATGTGGAAATTATTTCAGTGAAGTATTTGTAAAAATGGAAAGAGTTGAACCTTGAGTTTTGCAGGTTTAACTTTCACGAATTTGATTATTTGTCAGTTTGCCATCAATAATTAAATGGGATTATTTTTGGACTTTTGCGGCCTGTTTTGGAAAATCGTCCTCACTATAAGGAGAGGAAGGACCTCCAAAACATGCCTTCTTGCCCTGTGCATCTTGAGAGGGACATCCCACCAGCATTTCCTTAGTGCAAAAATAATGCACTGGTGAATGAAAAGGAGAGTGGGGAGTAAGAACATAAAACTGTAATAAATGAAGAAGAGGAGCCATGCTGGATCAGACCAATGTCTGAGAGAGAGAGAGAGGGAGATGCAATCCAGTACATGTATGGTCAAAATTATTAACAGTTAAGGTTGGGGAAGGGCTGCCTAGAGAAATTTGTGGTTTTTCCACTTTCATTGGGTTCTTGCACCTCTAACCCCCATGAATATGTGGCACCGACTGTACTTTCTTGTGATCCTAGTTTGCAATAAACAAAAAATGACTATACCGGAAAGAACATACCATTTTTGGAAAAAATACCCAAAGAAAGCAGGCCTTTCTGTTGGAATTTTATATCAATAGCTGTCTTTTCTTTTTCTGAGAAAACTGTAACACCTTCACTCTCTGCACTGCTTTTTGGTTCCATTTTAAGTTGACATAAATGTGGATCATAAGGACTAGCTGAACATTCTGTTTCACCAAAGTACAGGTGTGGGTCTGTGGACACAGGTGGGCTACCTTGGCAGGAGTGTACTGTTGCCCTTGTGCTCCACTTGTGGGATAGCCACTGTGTGAACAGAATGATGGACTAATGGACCATTGGTCTGATCTAGCACAGCAGCTCTTATGTTCTTGTGATTGTCAGTGAAACAAACAGTAACCACAGTCTTAGTTTCAGTTTATCTTCAATTTGTTATGCAAGAATGTTAGCAATGCAAATAAATAGTGGAATTGTTGCAGTAGCTCTTTCGGTTGAGCAAACAAGTGGTATTCACTCACATAATTCATTGATGAACACAGTCCAGTGCGTTAGGTTGTAGATGTAGCCTTACTGATTGTTGCCCAAGAAGCATCCAAAAGGGAAAGATGACCAATTTTCCAAAAGAAAAATCCTTACCAAATATACCTTTATTAGACCAACTTAATTCTACAAATAATGTGCAAACTTTCAGGATCTTGAGAACTCTTCTTCGGATGAGATGTTACAAAAAACAGGTGGAGTGGAATAGGAGTAAAGAAAGGCTGATTTGGGGTCTATCACATAGTTAAAGTGTTAGGATGAAGTAAGGGGTGAGAATTTATAGAGATTGCAAACCTCTGGGTGATGTGAAGGATTCAGATTGGACCTGGATATATTCCCAGCATCCATGACTTTTGACATCTTCCACAAATTTAATAAGGTTTTGCAGCTTTTGCCCTTCATGGTACTTCTGAAGTTAACATCCATGTTTGAATAATGCACTGTACACGGAACTGCCTGTGAAGACTGCTCAGAAATGTGAACTGGTTCAAAATAATAAGACTAGGACTGAGCTAATTTCTTTAGTGTTTAAATATCTGACTTTGATTTTGTTTGTTGGAATGCTGATTTTGACCTTAAACCATGCTTCTGCATGAATCTGCCCGGTTATTGATTTTTAGAAGGCCTGCTCAGGATGTCACTTCAGCCAGAAGTGAATGTTGTGACTGATAGGAACAAGACCTTTGCTGGATGGCATCCTGCCTATTTAGCTCTCTAGAATAACTTGACTGGCACAAAATACTGTGGGTATATAAACACTAATGGTAGTATAAAAGTTTTTAACTTTTTAATTTCTTGATTAGTGGCTAGTGCTTAATCATAAACTTCTGAATTCTGCATCTGTTGAATGTTTTATTTTGGAAATCCTATGATCAATGGATATCATAATCTGTAGATGGATGTATCAGGCATATAGTTACTAAAACATGCAATACTAGGATAAAAGATAATAGGCATTTCTATGTTCTCACATTCAGTATTGTAGAATATCCACCTTATTTATATATGCATCCCTGTATGATTTTCCAATATTTAGTTTTGTATTATTATGCACATATCAAATGGAATAACCAGAACTCCATGCTATACATAGGCAGTCTTGCTTCCTACCTGCCTTTGTGATTACATAAAGAGGCCTACAAGTATATGCCAGGTTCTTACCTAATGTGCTAATGGAAAGCCAATTAATTCTCAGCAAGAGAATTTATTCCTTCCCCATCCTTGCCTGCTTTCTTTTTTAATTTAAGCAGTCTGACATTCTGGGCAATCTGTTGTAAGCTGGCTCTCGAAATTACTATCCAAATTTGGAAACTTCCTAATGTCTTTGGAACATTTTCATTAATTCGCATCTGCTCTTTAGCAGAAGTGTTCAGAAAAATGCTGCTTTCAGATTCTGCCTCTGAGCTCAGTGCTTATGTTCAGTTTTGATTTTCTTTTTATAAAAATATAGATTTACACATTGTTTTTTTGAAATAAGCAAAAATGGAGTTGAGACATACTTTTTCTCTGATGAAGAAACCATCAGTGCCATGCTATAGTAGCATGTCATTTGAAACAGAAGCAATAATGCACATCTGAAAACACAGGCTTTTAAATAGCAGTCATCCACAGCACTCTGCTTCTGATCTAAATATTTTATTACTCAGATTGAATTACAGGGAATAATTTGAGGTGGAGATCTCCCCCACCACGTATTTTTCTGTTAATTATTTGTATTACTCTGAACAACTTGTATTAATAAATGTTGCATTATAATATGATAGTAATAAATATTTCTGGTTGCATTATAATAGGATAGTAATAGATATTTCTGAGTGCAGTTGCATGCAGATGTGCTTGCATGCATTTTTGGTATGGCAGTAGAAACTAGTGCTGGAATACTTTTATTTTCTATCCATCCATGAAATGACAGATTAATTTTGAGATACTGCTTTACCTTTGATGGCAAAAACAGTAGAACCTATGCCTGTGTAGCTAGAATGATATCCTAAGCTTGGAGATTGGAGAGAATCATGCAGGCCTGCCACAACTGCCATTTCCCTCTTCCCTTCATGAAAATCAAGATTGTACTAACAATTAACAAACAGTTATTTATTATTGGATTAGCAACCAATATATGTTTATTGGCACAAAACTTTAAAACGTGTGCTAATGTAGGCCTCTCCCTACTCCTGTGTTGTGCCGTTTCTGTCTTGCTTAGTCTTGTCTGCTCCAGCTGTCAGCTGGTCTCTCCAGAACTGCTAATCAATTTAAGAGCATGTGAGATGATAATGATTCAGCGTAGTGCCTAGCACATGTTCTTCACCTGTGCTACTTATTGACACCTTCTCCCTATAATGTATGTAGAGCTATTCTGATGTCCTTCAGGTACTGTGCGAGTGTCCAAGTTGGTTATGTTCATTCAGTGAGTGTACCTTGAACTGCTGCAGAGGTGTAGATGGCTGCTATAGCACCATAATTGAGTTTGAAGATGGATTATTATGCAAATTCTAGGACTCTTCTGAATTCCCTTGTGAACTGTAGTGTTTGTATGGATAATTACAAGGTGAAAATAGAAAATTTTTCATTTGTATGGCCATGGAAAAGAAAAAAGTAAATTAACACAACAATGGTGATATGCTATGGTTGCAAAGTTTTCTTAAAATTTGACAAGCAATCTTCTGAAAAAAGAAAGATTCTCTTGCATTTTTTTTTGTTTGGCTTGACTCTACTTAATGAGTGATCATGTTTCCTGGAAATATGTGGATAGGGTTTTTTACATTTCTACTTTTGCATTGCTGTAAGATACATCTGTGATTCTCCAACTGTGCCCTTCCAGTTGTTGCTGGAATGTAGTTTCCATCATCCTTGACTGTTGGTTAGGGTGGGGTTGACAGGAATCATATCTGGATGGCCATAGTTCACTTTGCTGTCCAGAAGTGAACATGTGAATGGATCTGCAGCCATCTTGCCCCATAAAAGATGGAAAAGAGTATAATAGCAAAAGAGTGTGGAAAATTGGCTGTGCTAATTAAAATGTGCTTGCTGTCAAGCTGAAATGTATGACTATCCAGAGCATAATTCTTTATTTCAGTGAAAGGTAGATGGCTTCAAGAATGAAATGTTTTGAGAGTAGGATTTGGTGTACACATTTAACCTTCGGGCTGGGCAACTGTTTTGAGTATTAGACTGCAATCCCATACAGACTTACCTGGGAGTAAGCCTCAGTGAATATGGTGTGAATTGCTTCTAGTAAAAAATACATACCCTGTTTTTAGCTTACATGTGTTTGGCAGTAGGGTTTATTTTGCATTTGGCTTAAAAATTTTTAACTTGTGTTGTACTTTCTCAGTCAGTTAAATAATGTCAAGAACGAAACCATCACGCATGACTTAGATTTAAAATCCTATTTAGCATCCCTTTTCTCCTTCTTTCTTTCTAGCTTCCGGCTGACCTTACGAAAATGCACCTCACAGATGGTCAGCATCCACAGGTGACACATGTCCCTTCAAGTCAATCTGGTTGCAGCATTGCAAGTGATTCTGGGAGCAGCAGTTTATCTGACATCTACCAGGTAATTTTAGTTTAATTTTTAGTTTAAAATCCAGTTCACCTTTTTATGTTTGTATAAAAGAGAGATGACCTAGCTATTTAGAAACATAAGATGAGAAGAGTCTTGCAGGATCAAAGCAAAGGCTTTGCTAGTCCAACATTTTGCTCACACAGTGGCCATTCAGCTGCCTGTGTTGCTGGTAGTCCATGAGTGCAATAGCACCCTTCTGCTTGAATTCCCCAGCAACTGGTACACAGGACTGTACTGCCTCTGATAATGGAGGAAATATATAGCTGTCATGCCTACTAGCCATTGATAGCCTTATTCTCCATAAATATTTGAAAAACTAAATTCTGGGAGAGGAGTGGGCCCTTATGGTCATCTAGATGCTTTGGCCTAACAACTCTCATTGTACCTAGTCAATGTAGCCAAATCTTGAGAGATTAAGAGAGATACAGGCAAAAATATTAGGAGGGCCTGTGCTAGCAGAAGTGTTGCTTGTCCAGTTGATGCCACAGTTTGTAAGAATTTCATAACAGCATTAATAAAATGCTAGCCGGGTAAGATTCTGCAGTATTTTGAAGATTTGTAAGATAAGGGTATCACATTCCTTAGTACAAAAATCGTGTGATCATTGCAGTCAAAACTGTGCCCAGCATTCATTTACAAAATTCTAACACATGGTCTTTGTTTCTGAGCATGCTGTCAGTCAGTAGAATTGGTGGTGGACAAGGAGGGAAAAGGGTCGCTTTGTCCTCCCCATAGTCTTCCACCCATAAAAGTCAAAGCAAAGTCAGGAGGAGGACTGTAGTGCAAGGAAGTAAGTAACTGGTGGCAGCTCTTTGCTAGCTTTGAAGTATGAGCTGAGTAAGAAGGTTGGGTGGGATAAACTTGAAACAAGATAGCTTCGTTAGCTGCTTGGGTAGTGTTGAGACAATCGCTGATTAGAAGTTTCTTTTCACATGACAACTAAACAGACAGACTGGGACTTAGGCTATGGACCTTATGTCTGTGGACTAGGGGACATGATACAATCATAGCTGGCCAGTGAGATATCATTAGTATTACATTACAATGTGTGTCCTCTTTGAAAGAATATGAGATTACTTGCAAGGTTACTCTCATCACCATTTCCTTCTCACGACAACAATCCATGGAGGCAGGTTAGTCTGAGAGAATGAATGGCATGGCTGCATGGGAAATAGAACCTAGCACTGTACTCTAGCCGCTACGCCACTTGTTTATTAGTTTATCCAACCCTTTGTAGACCATCACAATGGCCATGTGGTTCTCTGGACAGTTCTAAGGTTTATATGGACACGTAACACTGGTCAAACCGAAAAGGAAGAGAGCTCTGCACTCCCACCCATGTATTCCTGTGTGTTGTAAATGACTTGCAGTGGCTTGCGCAGTGCCATATTGGCTTACTCCTGTGTTCTACTGTGCTAAAAGTAAGCTTGGAAAGAGTTTGGTTTGAACTGATTAGCTCTTGTTACATTGCAAGCAGGGATTAAATATCTTGGAGTGGAAACTAAATCTAGGAGGGCTTTAATGTGAAACTGATGAGGTAATAGATAATAATAGTTTGAAAGAACAGAATTTTATATTAGTTCCATTAGAGCTCCACAGTTTAGTCAATCGTGAGCTGTTTGTACTGTAGCAAGGAATAGGAACACTACCTACCTAGTAAAAATAGACTTGACTTTACCGATTCAGGCACAATTTCTATCATTTGTTATTGAGGATCTTCTGTGCAATTTTCAGGGTTTAGGCTCATCTACACATTGCTAGGAGACAAAGCAGCATGAATCCTGATAAACTCCAAAGCCTCCTTGTCTTGCTGATGGTGTCTTACAAAGAAAGGTGTCTTTCATGAAAGAATGTATGGCACAACCAGTGTAAAAAAGTTGGATCAAAATTGTTATGAGCAGAGAGAAGAGAATCCCAGAGTCAGTTATTTAAAAGAAGGGCTCAGTAAACTTGTAGAGTGCCTGCTCTGCATGCAGAAAACCTCCAGGTTCCCTTCCTGGCGTATGCAGCTGTAGCTGGGGTGTTGAGCTACTGCCAGTCAATATTGACTGTGTTGAACTAAGATGGACTGGTTGTTTGACTTAGTATAAGGCAGGTTCCTAAAATCCTGTATGCTTTGCCACAGTTCTTCTTGTGTGGATTGAAGTGAACTTTTAAAAGTGAATAATGCGTTGGATCAAATTCTGCAAAATGCCAGCTTTCGGTAGCTTTTAGCTGTGTGGTAGGTCCCATATTATCAGCCCCCTGGCCAGGCTGGGAAGCGGTCAGGTAGAGGAATGGAAGAAGACTGCATTTTTGTGAGCATAAAAAACATTCCAAAATAACATTTACATAGATGACTGCATACTTTGAATTCAGAAGCAAAGGCCTCACGTTTCTAAGCTGTCATAATTTTGGAATTGTTCTAATAATTCATAGAGTGTCATGCTGTTGGTAAAAAATGGCCAAACCAAGAAATGTGTTCCTATCTGGTTCCATTGTGCGTTTTAGATAGGGTTCAGTCCTATTTTTCCTGATAATAAAGGATTCATCAAGGTTAAAGTGTGTGATAACAAGTCTACAGCTGAAGTCCTCTGCATGCTTGCTTAGTGGAAAGTCATAGTGAAATTTGTTAGACTCAAACTAGGCATAGAATCCAGTGATAAGACAATATTTATTAGATTGCAAGTCTTCCATAGATTAACTTTGGATTTCTATTATTACATTGAAAACAATTCATTCATGTTTAAATAATCCTACCTCTGTTGACTTCAGAGGGTTTAAACTGCAGCTGCTTCTTTTATCAATTTTTAATTTTACAAAAAGAAATTACAATACAACTTAAAAAGAAAACATACAATTAAAGCCATATTATAATATAACAAAACCATGCATCCTACTACCGGGACCATTAGATACTTATTAATTCATTTGCTCGTTCAGGAGGCTCTGTGCCCCTTCCAAAATTGTAATTTTGTAATGGTTCACATCCTTTCTCTTTTATTAGCACGTACTCAATAAAGAGTCCCCAAATATCTTCAAAACTATTCTTATCTATGTAGCCTTTTTATTTCTCATATCACAAGTTAATTTATCATTAATAGCTATCTTCCAAACTTCTCTGTACCAATCACTCAGTTGATAACAAATGTGTTAATTCTGTACAGTGCTGTTTCCATTGTTCTCTGCCAATTATTGACAATAATGCAATATTGCCTTACTCTTATTCCTTACTCTTACTTTTATGCTCTATTTAATTTCTATACTGCCCGTAGCTGAAGCTTAGATTTTCTATAGAAATAGCTTAAGTTTGGATATATGTGCTTTTTGTTTATATTAACTTCTTCATGGTTTGCCACAAGAGATATATACTTTCAAGTAGTTTATCAGTACACTGATTATAATTCTTGTAGATTAAAATCTTTTGTAGCATTTTCTAAAAAAATCCTAGCTAAATGCCTATATCCGAATAAGAATGTTGCTACTCTAGTAACTCTGTTGTGAAAAATTGTCCTCTTTTCCCCGTATATGAATTAGGATATTAATTTTATATAAGTCTGTGTTGTATATTCATTCAGATAAACTTCCAAGGGCCAGTCCTATTCAAAATTTGAAAAGCTGATTGATTTTGGATAGAAAAGCCAAAAAAGACTGATTAACCCTTTCCTCATCTGTTCCACTGCCTTCCTGGTGCAGTTCCAGGATTCCCCCAACAGGATTCCAGGCACATGTTTAATTTCGGAGATGAACACTTAAAAGGATGAAAATATTGGAGTGCAGGAAATCTTGGTGAGAAAACAGCAGGCTTCAAAAGGCAAAGCCCCTTTGTTGCTTCACTCCTCCAGATTACTTGTTCCTGAAACAGCTTTTGTCTAACGAAAGTGGGTGACCAGGGTTTGTTAAATGAATATTGTATTGTTTAGCCTCATCATTACCTTAGAGAACTAATTCTTAATATTGTAGAGTAAGCCATACAATTCTTTTCATATACGGTAGATTCTATAAAAGCCAACTTAATCATTTCACATCTGTTTTAGTCTGTGTCTAAGCACATCTTGGAAGCTATTTTCATCATTGATCCACCATGGTTTAATAATTAATGTTCCCAAAAGTATTTAAGTGACAATAGATGACCTTGTCATGTTGTATATGTATTGTTTTGGCATCTTTTCCTACAGTAGATTATATTCCCTGTTATAATGTTTATGTCATCATGTGACACAGTGTGTGTGTGTGAGAGAGAGAGAGCACAAGTTAGATGAAAAATGCTACATGGTAAAAGTCATTTCATCAGGTTGTTTGTTTTGGAACCTAACTATTGTTATAGCATGCACGGTAAGTTAACAGGAAAGACAGACAGACAGAAGTAATATTAAACTCAATGAGACTTGCTCTATTCAAGTTCCATTAAACAATTCAATTGAAGTTTAATTGTGCATTCATATTTGCTTTAAAATATTGTACATCCTATAAACTATTAATGCAATCCTTTTGTGTGTTGGGTTGCATGTGTGAGTGTATGCTCTATTAAAAAGTGACTCATCTCACACAGACTGCTGGTGAGAAAGAGTATTAAAAAATCACATATGCAGTCACATATCTTCCTTTGGTGTGCATTCAGGACATCAGTTTTATAATCAAAAGCTGCTTTATTGTGTTTACAGATTTGGAATAACCAATCCATTAAATGGGTTGATGGGGACTGTCCATATGGGCAAGGGTAGTGGTAATGGTAACTGTTGAAAGCATCATTCCATTCTGTTCCTTAAAGAAGCAGTCATCAAACATTTTGATTTTATTTTAAAATTCCTCCCCATCTTCTTTCAAGCAGGATCATTTTGGCTCTAGACACCACTACCAAGATCAGTTGGGAGCATTTCCAAAGTCGTGGGATGATCTCTCATCTTTCCACACTAATCAAGTGCCATTGCTGTTCATTAGATGTATCTCCTTTCAGTGGAAGGCTGGAGGGTTTTCTGATTCCATACCATGAAGTCTTTTCTGGTTGCCCATATTATAACCGCCAGCTCATTACTAAAGAAAAGCTAGAGCTAGACTACTCCTGTTGAGAGTAAGCAGCTACTATAAAAAAGAAAGGGATAGTAAATGAGTGAAAGAGGTTAAAAACTATACTTGACATGACTAGCAAATTGGTCTGTGGTACGTGTGCCTGGCAATGAAGAACAATGACCTATGGCTTCCATCTTGTATATTATAGTATTTAATATTTCATATTGGCTCTCAGTCTCTTTGTGGGTTATGATCTATGAGGAGCTACACTGGATATGTTTTTTTATGCCCAGTTGTAAGACTTTCAAGGGGGGCCCCTTCTGTTGGTCCCATCGCAATGTTTGGTGAGGGCATGAAGGAGAGCTTTCTCATTGGCTGATCCTAGGTTCTGAAACTTGAGCTCCTTGAATAGAAAAAGGTGAGACATAAAAGAATGAATAAATGATTTATTGCTGAAGTTAGCCAAGTTGGGTTGTAGTGGTGGTTGTCAGAGTTATATCTCACTTGTCCTTTCATGGGTAGACAAATATGTTTTTATTTAGGCAGGTCTTTGGGATATATGTTGGTTTGTTGCTGAAGGGACTTTTATTGGGTTAGATGCTGTATATTTCTTTTATTGTTGTATTTGATTGATTAGGTTTTATGTTTTAATCAAGATTGTGTTTTTTATCTGTATTTTATTATCTGTCTTGAGTGCTGTATTGGGAAGAAAAGTGGGATAGAAATTCAGTAAATAAACTATTTGAATTTAATAGAGCATGGGGTAAATGTTGCTTTTAAACAGACATGAGTTGAGCATGGGATTAAGTTGAACATGATTTAGGCAGGAATTCCCATCATTTCCAGCTAGAATAGCCATTTTTTAAAGGAACTGTCCACATATTTAAGGAAAGTATTATATTACATTGTTAAATAGGATTCTAAGTGGTCTATCAGTCATCCTTACTGTTGCTTGACCCTACAGCTCATGTGTTCCCATATGATTCATGTGTACCCAGCAAATTGTGGTTTCCCCTACTTCTAACCATAATTTCGACTGTTTTTCAGCTAGATCAAGTTTCACATTGGAACAAACCTACCTATATAGTCATGTAGACTTTATCAGGGTACGAACTCTGTGGTGTGAGAGAGCAGATATGTTGGAACATTGAGTAGCTAAAACAGCTGATCATAAACCTGTGATCCTCCTGCTCTTAAGGGGTTTGTGTGGTTATATATAGAGGAAAGAAAGGCTTAGAGAACAAAAGCATTGCATATTTTTTGTACTTCAGACTAGATGGACACGATATTGTTGCCTAGACTCAAAAGATGCTTCTGATAGAAAGATCTTAGTGACCCTATTCTTCTAAATGGCATGGCTTATTGTGTGCAGTGGTGCCTGTGGATACCACCTTGCATATCTAACCCTTGTTTGGGAATTGGTTTTTGTGGACTTATCAAGCTTAGATTATATGAGGGTTGTTTAATGTTTATGTAACCCATGGTCTGGAATGCTGTGCCATGCAAACTGACCCAGTCAGAATCCAGCATCAGGCGAAGGGTTTTTCTGCTCATACATGTTATGTGTCAATTTGGATACTGTTGGAGAATGTTACCAGCTTCAGATGCCCATTCAGTCACAACATTTAGTAAATAATCTTCAATTGTAGCCAGTTACAGGCTTATTGTGAGGCTAGGAGGGTTAGCATGGCGTGTATGCTGCCTTGAACATTTTGTAGTAAGTTTGATTAAGAGAGTGATACAAGTTAATAAGTAATTAAAAAGTGCTACAGTTTTTTTAATTAACAGTTAATGGCTTTCATAGATAGTTGAATTACCCATCTTATTAGCAAAATTTTAGACCATCATATTATCTGAATTAACTTTTCACCACTTGATGGTAATATATTAGATTCAGCTATGGGGCCAGTGCCATCTATTATTGGAATAAATTTATGTGTTAGATTGTTATTTACTTTTTTTGGTAGAGGAAGAAGAATGTTGTGCAGTTTACTTGGTAATTTTCTTTTTGCCAGAGAAAAAGCTGTAATAGTGCTAGATGCTAAAGATTTCTGTTTTCAAGTGGACATTTGACCCTACTTGTCAGGGTTTTCATACATTGCCAATATGGAAATCTAATGAGTTGCTGCTTTGATTGACTGTGAAGACTTTTATGAAGGGCTGCATTGTACATTCTCCACATAGTCAAATGTAGTCTGAACTTTCAAACCAAGAACTAGCTAGTTGTGCTAAGGATGGCTTACCTTGTCTGGTTTGAATTTAAATTTATCTACAGTGTATGGTGTGATTGAGTTTCAGTTAACATTTTAAATCATGATGTTTTAAGACACAATCATTCTTTAATCCATATTAATTAATGTTTACTTTAGGTGGTCCCTAGGATTTTGCTACAGCCAATTTTCTGAAGATCTACTGCTGCTAAAGAGCATAAAGTACATAAAGTATTAGGAACCTGATAGGAAACTATGTGATATCTTATTAAATGCAACAAATTAGCACCATCACCCGTTCCCCCTTCACCTAAGTGTTGTTGCCTGGGTTTTTATCTATCTATCAGTAATTGACTGTACTACAAGGGTAAAGATTTTACACTGTATCCAGCCCTAATTGTCAACCAGCAGAATGGAAACTGCTGTCACAAGTTTTCCCATTCTCCCTACAGCTTCCTACTTGCTTCTAAACCTACTCCAGACAGTTAGGGGACCTTTTGAAGCAGTTTTGGAAAGTATACAGAAGGCTGCAGGGAGAAGAGTGAGGGAAGGTTATGTCATGGAAGTTCATTTGCCCAACTTTGCATTTAAGCCTACATCCAATGGAACCACGAAGAGACCAGAGCTAAGTTACCAAGGCCAGTGTGTGTGTGTCTGTGTGTGCACATGCACATAATTTTCAGCAACTTAAAGATTGTTCACTGATTTTATGTACAGGCTACTGAAAGTGAGATGGGAGATGTAGATTTAACTGGACTCCCAGAAGCACCAGTAGATTCTGAAGATGATGAAGAAGAAGATGAAGACATTGATAGAACTTCAGATCCATTGCTGGGACGGGATGTTGTACGGGAATGCCTTGAAAAAGAACCTGCAGATAAAACTGATGATGATATTGGTAAGAAGTAAAAAGAGGTGATCTGCAAGTTGATCTATCATAATTTTAACAAATGGTCCATAATACTGTGCAGGCTGTTAGTGTAGCAGAGTGGCATAATGATGTCATTAACTGTTAATTGTAAACATAAACTGCATAATGATGTATGGTAGCTTATTCACATCATCCATGTCTAAGAAGGAAGCAGACCTGGAGGAATCTAGGATTTGCAAAGGTGCAGATTTCTTTTAGGAAAACCCCTAATGTAAAACTGAAAAGAACCCATGAGGACTGAACATGCTCAGTAGTCACAAAATATTGGCAGACTGTGGAAGGATAATCAGTGGAAAACTGGGAGAAGGGGAATGGAATGGACTTTCTTAGAGTAAATCTTTAAAAAACAAACTCATTTTACGTATAAACTTCACTGAGTTATAAACTTTTTTCCTGTAAACTTCACAGTGGAGCGACTGTTTTAAAACAAGTATTTGTTAAATATTATGATCAGTGCCAATTAGCTTGTCAAACTTCTAAGCACTTACATGTGGCCATTCTAGCATAAAAAAGGGTACCATCTCATTTCTCACTTATTTACCCCCTTGTGTTCTGTAGATGTGCATAGGATGTATTAACATTGGGTCAGATCCAAATAATTGTTTGCAATAGGAAACGGGGTGCAAGCAGTGTTCACTTGTACAACAGTTTGCATGGTGCCATAATAGTCATGCTGCCACTTCCATTAAAAGTCTTTTCTTGTATGTTTCTACATTCTTCTGTTAACTGTAAACATTTTCACATACATAAAATATTTTTGCAACCACACCTATTAACATAAATTATTGAGTGACATAGATAACGATTGAAAGCCAAAATTATTGCAAGGTATAAACAAAATTTTAAAAATAAATGATAGGTACACTTAAAATAATTTTATCTCATTTAGTTTCATGTATATATGTGTGTTTGTTCTCATAGAACAATTACTGGAATTCATGCATCAGCTTCCAGCATTTGCAAACATGACCATGTCTGTAAGAAGAGAACTCTGCTCAGTGATGATATTTGAGGTGGTAGAACAAGCAGGAGCCATCATCCTTGATGAAGGGCAAGAAGTAAGTAAAGTATAATGCTGTGGATATATTTGCATGTAAATATCAATTAGTAGTACAGTTATATTTTTGTGCTTTTTTGTGACACAACAGATGAGTTCACTCAACATGACAAACCATCCTGCAAGTAAGATGCATAGTGTTGCTTATGATAGGGTTATATGTGATGTTTGGGCTCATTGTGGGTATTCCCCCAGTTCCTTGTCATTTTGTAAGTATCCTAGGGACTAGTGTAACAGAGCTGGTATTTTCACCTCATCCCATTTATGATATTTTTGACACCTGTCAGAACTTCAACTTCTTTTTTTTTTTTTTAAAAAAAACAGGGTTTCTGAGTAGGTTAAATGCCTTCTAATTTTGGACAGGGACATATTCAGCCATGAAAACAGTGTATGTACCTTTCAAAAAACTTTGTTAGCCCTGTAAAAAACCCTTTTGTAAAATAGGAAGCCAGAATTTTGACAGCTGTCAAAAGTAAGTGCTAATGTGAGTGGGGGAAGGCTGTAGTTTTTCCAGTTTCCTGATTACTTGGAATTTTGTAAAAGGGTGGAAAAAATGGAGGATGCAGAGATCTTGTTGTGAAGAGGGTGATATAGCTACCCTCACTTTTCCAAAAAGGTCTCACAGTTTTACTTTAGTTGACATTGTGCTGTTTGGCAGCTGTCAGGTGAAAGAAAAATAATACATTTGGGATTTGGCTTTCCCAATGTTTGCGTTGCCTACTTTGATAGTAAACACTTAGCAGGACAATAGTCCAAGTAAAGCTTCAAATTTTGGTTAGTCAGAAAAGAGGGGAGAACTCTGTGCATATTTCTCATGCTGGGGAGGGGGGGATGGGAGCAAACCAGTGATGGCCCAATGTGTTGCATGGGTACTTTGGAGGGGCTGTCACTTTGGTTATTATGAAAGTGATATCTGAATAAAAAAGGCAAAAGGAAGGCAAAAGCTTCAGTGACCTGAAAAAAGGGATTGCAATTGGGAGTGGGGGAAGATTGTGCCAGTAGCATTTGGACAGTTGGTAGACTGACTGTCACTAGAGTTGGCCTGGACATTTTCCTGCTCATGTTATATGGCTCATGCAGTGCTTCTGTTGACCCATGATGGGATCAGAGTGCCATGTTTAGTGACACTAATATACCAATCCACTGTGGGTCTCGGAATCCTTTAACCAGAGATTCTCAGAGTGTCTTATTGATTCAAAACAAGGCATGTTGTGTGAACTAGTCCAGGTTCACATATTATGCTAGGCTAGTTACAATGTTGGGTTGCTGTGTTGTGTGAAGTAAACACATAGCAGTCCATGCTTACCTACTGTTACCAAAAACTGAAAAAACTCTTCTCTTTTTTCAATCTGCTAAATTTTTTTCACACCCAGAACAGAAACTTTAATAATATTTCTTTCTATATTGTAGGTATAACTTTGTAATCCATTTGAAAAAGCCATAACCGTAGCCATAACCACTCAGAACGTAGCTATTTGCAAATATTGGAGTAGGTTTGGTGTCCTATTTTCACTTTTACATTAGAATGTCATTCTGCAGATTGTGATAAATACATTCGTATTCTTCTGATTGGCTGGGCCTGTTCTAGTGTGGTAGAAAGATACTAGTTGTTGATACGACTTATTATTATTATTATTATTTTTTACAGTGAAGCTCTTGTTTAGGTCATCATTGTGACCGTTTCATTGTTCGTAAAATGCCTAAGATGTACTTGTTTTTCCTCTAGCTTGATTCTTGGTATGTCATTTTAAATGGCACTGTGGAAATCAGCTATCCAGATGGGAAAACAGAAAGCCTCTGTATGGGAAATAGTTTTGGAATTACTCCCTCTCTGGAAAAGCAATACATGAATGGTGTGGTTAGGACCAAAGTAGATGATTGCCAGGTAAGATAATTTAGTAATAAAGCATTCTGTTGTTTTGAAGCTTACGAAAAAATAATCTGTTTACTGTTGAAATGTTCTAGAAATAGAATACAGCAATTTTCCGTTAACCAGCCACTCAAAACTTTCTTACTCATATCATCTGTTGTTCAAGAAACAGGAACTACTGCTTTGCCTTTTTTTATAATGATATAAGGGCTGTGGCCCACTGAAGTGAACTCAGGATATTAAACAGAAAGTGTGCATTTTCACTTCCTGAATTCAAGTTCTCAGCTTGATTTAGTTGTTGTATGTTCCTTCCAGTTGAAATAATGTCTGGAGAGTTTACAAAGAAGTATTTGATAGTGGGCAAATTGTAAATTGACTGATTTCTGATACTGTTTGGGCATTTGTGTATTACATTTGTCCAGGCTTGGCCAATTGGCTTTTTATAGTGTATTAATTGTGCTTCCATTATCGTGGGACAGTTTGTGTGTATAGCCCAGCAAGACTATTGGAGGATTCTGAACCATGTTGAGAAAAATACACACAAGGTTGAAGAAGAAGGAGAAATTGTTATGGTGAAGGAGCACAGAGAACTGGATCGCAGTGGAACCAGAAAAGGACATATCGTTATTAAGGTGATTGATCAGAACCAAAACTTTTCTAAGGATTTGTCAATCTGTCCTTATATACTAATGAACTTTTATGATTTTCATAAAAAGGCCCTGCAGCAAATTATTGTGTTTTTTATCTTCTTATACACTGAAATGCCATAGAAATAGCGTGTTTGTGGGCAGTTAGGGGTCATTCACTGTTTTAGTTTTTAGAAGCTCTGGTTTGAGGTACAGTACCACATAAATATCCAGAAGGTATTCTGAAATACTGATCCAGGGTGAAATTCAGGAGTTTGGTTTATATATTACTATCTCTGTCTCTGGTGGTGGATTTACACAATGAAATATTGTTTGCCATTAGAAGTTGAATGATTATAATCACTGCAGTCTCTTTTTATTTCAGGCAACTCCTGAACGCCTCATTATGCATTTAATAGAAGAACATTCTATTGTGGACCCAACATATATTGAAGACTTTCTATTAACATACAGAACTTTTCTGTCAAGTCCTCTGGAGGTTGGAGACAAACTCCTGGAGTGGTTTCAGTTAGACAGTCTCAGGGACAAGGTTGGTTCCTAAATTAGAGATTAACATTTAGGGTTTCATTATCGTATCTACTGGAAGAAAATTGTTTATAAATGACAGTGCTGTTGAACTTGCCTTTCATGGGTTTAACCGTCATGGATTTGATTATTCATGAGTTTCAGTATGCTAAAGAACTGCAGACTATGCACTCTATCTGTGGATGCCGTGTACTTTGTCTTGCTACTAGCCAGCTTGACTCAGGTGCCTGTAGAGATATTTACAGTTTCCACTTTTGTAGGGGTCCTGTGAAACATAAAACATCTGGATTCATGTTTTACTCATACTATATAGTGTAGGTTCAGGTAAACAAACTTGGCTCACATGATCAAACAGCCCACGCTTAAGAAGACATGAGCATATGGGAACAGTGGAATGTGTTGACTCCTGACCACTTCCACCTAAAAAAGCAATAACACAGGAATTCTGTTCCTGGTTATCGTTATATGTGAACGTGTAAACCCTGGCTTGTTAAGGGGTTGAAGAACACAAGTTAACCCATGGTTAATTCTGTGTTGTTCAGCCGCTAAACAATCCAGAGTTTGTTGGCTTTTACATAAGAATAACATCTCAGGAATGGTTAGAAATGACAAGCACATAGAAGGATGCATGTATGTGTGAGCCCATAGTTAGTTGTTACAGGTAAATCAGGTCCCACTGTTCCTGATTTATTAAGCACCTTTCTGGAAATAACAAGACTGAAATTTTTACTGGCATTTTAAATGTATAGTAGAGATAGGCAGATTATTTTTGACCAACAAGAGAGTTGCCTGCCTGTATGGATTTACAGTTGATGGAAAAGTCTCTAGAGCTCACTAACAGTCTCTGCTATTCCTGATATACTGATATGGAAAACATTAACTTGATAGAAATTGATTAATGTTGCAGAAGTATTTATAATATCTGGTTTTCTGAAACTGACCATTCACTCTGATGATATTTCAACATGTCTTGGACTGTTCACAATTTACTTCTTTCAATGTGTGCGTGTATAAGAATGTATAAACCTTGAGAGCTGTTTAACAGTGCTTTTTATTCTGGTTTAAGTTTTCCTTCTCAAAATAATTGTAAATGTCTGGAAAATGTTTTCTTTTAAAGTTTGCAAGTAAAAAGCAGGCTAGTTACAATTGTATGACTCCAGAGTGATTAATATATAGTATATTGGAGTAAGTTTGAGTTTACATACATAATAAAGACATTACAGCTGAGAACAGGGAGTACCATTTTATGCGCTAAACATTTTTCTTTTAAACTGACAAGGTAAATGACAGACTGCTGGTACTGGTAAAGCTGCACCATAATTTTATAGCCCGATTGACTACTATGTCAAAAAATGAAGATGGAAATTCCTTCGCTCTTGTTTTGTTTGTGTAAATCTCATAGAAGCAGGCCTTAAGCAAGTATTCAATATTTCACAATGACAGCTTCTTTGAAATGTTGGATTCATTAGAGCCCTGAAAGTTGCATGAAAAAGTTACTTCAGAAAGTGAGTTGTAGTTCTGTACCTGATGAATATCCTTTTTATATGCATTGTTTGACATATTGGCCCATAGAGTATAAAGGTTTGTCATTGGTTTAAAGTTAATGCTAAAAATGACAGTTTGGTATTGTTTATTTTTAACACTTGTTAAAAACGACAGTTTAGTATTCTCTTACCAAAAAAATCCACATTTGTTCTTAGGTCACTCGAGTTGTGCTACTGTGGGTAAACAACCATTTTAATGATTTTGAAGGGGATCCAGCCATGACACGATTCTTGGAAGAATTTGAAAAAAACTTGGAAAATGCGGTAGGACTCAGTATAAACTGTTATGTTCTTTATCATATGTGTCTTTTAAAAAAAAAGAAACCTTGACATCCAAAACAACTATAGCATGTTAAGAGTATTGTCCTATGTATGTCATTCAAAAGGCTATATGTTCCACAAATAATGTAGATAAGTATGTTTCATGGCACAATTCTGGGAGATAACTATGGATGAAAGGATGATTCTTGCATGTAATCTCATTAAATAAGTTCTTTCCAATGATTTGCTATTTTGCCTCATTTTAGATAGGAAGGTATTCATGTGTTTTTTTGGCAATTTACAGAAAATGAAGGGGCATCTCAGGTTATTAAACATTGCCTGTGCAGCAAAGGCAAAGTTAAGACAAATCACATTGCAGAAGCCTTCTAGAGACTCTCCGCTTTACTTCAGTCTCCTTGGAGGAAGTGAAAAAGGGTTTGGTATTTTTGTAGAGACGGTGGAATCAGGAAGCAAGGCAGCAGAAGTTGGGCTTAAACGTGGTGATCAGGTAAAGTAAAGCTATTTTTCTCAGTTATGAACTTAACATTGATGTGTTTTGATGAAGTGGCATATGTTCAATTGAATACATTTTCTTTAGTCATTTTCTGTGCTAGTCTCGTTGAAATAGTCCAGCCAAACCACACGTCCTTCATACTAATTCCTTCATTTGTGGAACCAGTGTTTGCTATGTTATCTAAGACAGTTGAAGTATGGTTACCATTACGCTTATTTTGCCTCCAGGCAAGGATAACAAAACTGCTGCAGTAACCCTAATTAGCTTGACTTGGAAGTCATGGAAAACTGTAATTTTTGTGAACAAAGAAATTAATAAGGGAAAATGGGCCTTCAGGATTTTCACAAGACAAACCATGACTTCACTGTGCTATTTTAACTGGGCTACGACCTATACTAGGAAATGTATAGTGTGAAAAACGTGATGGTAATCAAATAGAAATAAAAGTAAAAGACAGTCACAGGCTTAACCAAAAGAGGCAAGAATATCATGCTGTTCCAAATAAATACTGGTTTTATAACTTGAAAGGAATTTCAGTAGTATAGATTCAAAATGTATTCCTAGAACTGAGTTATGTTTTAGAAAATGTGCATCAAGCCATCTCCTTTTAATTGTCCTCCAGTTTTTCAGTGTAGTGTTGGATTAGCTTTTCTTGTGTTCTCTTAAAGGTAATGGAAGTAAACGGGCAAAATTTTGACAACATTACATTTGCAAAAGCCACTGAAATCTTGAGGAACAATACTCATCTTTCCATCACAGTCAAAACAAATATTTTTGGTGAGTAGCATTGGATAAATCATACCTCTTAGAGACCTTGGCCAGTATGAAAAGGCATACTGTAAGCATGTCTAAGGTATTCTTTTTTGCTTTAGAGATTTTTGTAACCTTTAAAAGACAGACCTTTCCCCATTAGACATGTCAAGCTGCCTTTGCAACTCTTCAGTCCATTTCAAATGAGGTTTCCTATATGCTGTAGAAATAGGGTGGAGGAACTTCAGAACTAACTACAGCAGTTGCTTAGATCTATTCCGTTGTCCCTGCCCCAGGCACCCAAACAAAATTATTAATTTCATGTTCTCTGCTCTGGCACAATAACATGTATGATCTGTTGTAGAAGTATGTATGTAGTTCTACACATGTATGTAGAAATCACAGTAAAGGTTCACATTGTAGCCCCAACAGTAAATAAGGCACAGTATCAGTGCTATTCCTGTATAATTTGTATCTGATAATTCCTTTCCCTTCTGTGCATCACAATCTTATTTCAGGAAAGCTTTGTTGTGAGCCCAGTCTGTCTCTAAAAGGGAAAAAAAATGAAGCTCAGACCTTCTCTCAAAATAGCTACTATGGCTATTATAATCAGTATGTCCTGGATACTAATTCTGTTTTACACAAATTTCTAGAGGATAATTACTGACATCCAAATAGATTCCCTTTTTCATGTTAACCATTTGAAAAGTCAGTCAGGAAATTTAGGTTTCTATGGAACTGCATTCTGTAAGATGAATGGCTGCCATTAGAATGGAAAATCAGTATTGTATCCATTCTTTTTTCCGGAAACCTTAGGAAGTATTTGGACAGATAAACCCAAAAAAGAAAGAAAGAAATTGGGTTAAGACTGTATTGAATAGCTTTTAGAATAAAAGAAAGTGGCTTTGTATATGTGTCCACAAATTATGGGAAAAGTATATTTAAGCAATAAATGATATAAGCTGCTTTGAGTTTTTTAAAAAAGAAAATGAAACAAGACCTTGCCTTCGAAACTGGTAGAATGGATGATGAAGGATGGAACAAGCTGTCTAAAAATATAGGCATGTCATGAGTGGAACCGGCTGGAGCCAGGGGTCAGTCTACATGGTCTGGAAGGCTCCTTCTGACTCGCTCTCTTTCTACGGTTCTTGGTCATCGTGATCTCTGTGCATCACACATAAGGGTGCTAGATCAGAGTGGAAACATTTGCTGTTCTTCAGACTGAATTAGGTTTTAGCATTGTAACACCATGTACAGACTGGATTACAGATGGCTAAAGTTAGGAACTGTTACATATACCTCCCACGGAGAGTGTCCCACAGCAAAACTTGTTTAAATAATTTTGTGCGTAGTCTGTAATTCATACAGATTAAAAACCATAACCCTATTATTCTCTGTGTATCTTAAAATATTGTGTCTCAGACCAATCAGTACTTTTTAATAGTCTAATTTCTACAATTAAGTAAGTAAGCCTTTATATCTTTACTGTAGGACTTTAGATCTGTTAAGGTAACATAATGACAAAATCTGAATATGCTGAAAATGGTCTTTTTAAAATTCAGTAATATTTTCTAAAGATTGAATTATCACTTTAATTCTCTTTTTATAGTGTTCAAAGAACTGCTTATTCGTATAGGACAAGAGAAAAATGGAGTCCCACATATGCCCAAAATAGCAGAAAAGAAAAATAATCGTTATTCTATCCCAGATATTCCTGGTGATGTAGAACAGATGTTTCCACGTGAGAAAGGAAACAAGAAAATCAAAGCAAACACTGTTTCCGGTGGAAGAAACAGAATCAAGAAAATTCTAGATAAGACACGGTTTAGCATCTTACCTCCAAAATTATTCAGGTATGAAGATATATTAAAATACATTATCATAAATTTGTCATTTAGATTGGGTAAATTGTAATTCTATTAGGGAAACTACTGCCAATCTACATTCAGGATGTTAAAGGTACCCTCTTTTCGTCCCCTTTAGATAGTTTTTGCAGTTGTAATCATCCTCTACAGCTCTAGTTGTTGTAAACTGTTCAGAGGGAGCTTTGGCTGTGGGCAGTATAGAAATGTAATGTAGTAATAATAACAGTAGCAACAATAGTATGAGCTCACTGCTAGAGGAAGAGCTGATTGTTTCCTTATAGTTGTGCTGCTCCACTGAAGGCAACTAGCATGTGTCTTGATGCATGTAATCTATCCAAGTTCCACAAGCAGGAGGCTTCTGTATTCATTTCAGCATCAAGAACACTTCTACACAAGCATTATTTCTGTCTTTGCACCTTATTTTTTAGGCTAAACATTTGTCTGCTTTCTAATAAATTATACCAGATTTTTTCCTTCATTTATTAAAAAAAAACTGTTCTAGTAAGCCTACTGTTATTGAATGAAGAGTGTCTATCCAGTCATTTATCCTTATTCTAGTTCAGAGCCCTCTTTCCTTTACCAAAAGCAGAAACAAAGTAGTAATTGCTTATTCCTGCCCTGCTGGTATAGCTTTAATCTCCTTTCCTTTCTTCACAAATAATGTTCTCTTATATAGCTATAGAGTTTTTGCTATTCATCTGTATAGTCTTTGCAAAATAAATGTTATTGGCCATTCAGAAGCACTTATCACCTTGCAACATTTTTTCCTCCTGAAAAGTAAAATGCTTGTGTTGTTGTACTGTGCTCTCAAACTAAACCTAGTATTTACTTGTGTAAATACAGTGATACCTTGGCTCATGAACTTAACCCATTCCAGGACTCTGGTGGCGACTCAAATTGGTCGTGAGCCAAGTTAAATTTCCCCATAAGGTTCAGTGTAAATAAGGTTAATCCGTTCTGTAACCATTTTTAAATCAGAAAAATGTGAAGCAAAGTGACAACAACAAAGATCGCGGCCATCTCCCTCTGCCCTGAGCACAAGCACGGCCATCTCCCCGCCCCACCAGCATGGCCGAGATCGCGCCTGTCATCCCTGCATATGCCTGTCATCCCTGCAAGCGCCCGTCATTCCGGTGCGCTGGGGGGTAGGAGGGAGAGATGGGTGTGTTCGCAGGCGCACTGAAGGAGGGAGAGATGGCCGCGATCGCAGTTCTGTTCGTGCAGGGAAGGTGTGCCTGATCAGAGGCACACTCCTGCAGGAAAGACAGGAGGAATCTTGGCCATCTCCCCCACAGCTCTGCTTTGCTGCTCCTGTCTTTCCTGCAGCAGCACGCCTCTGATCACGCATGCCTTCCCTGCACGAAAGCAACTGGGATTGTGGCCATCTCCCCACTTGGGGGGGGGGAGTGGGGAGATGGCCACGATTGCAGTTCCATTTGTGATCAGAGTCGCGGTGCTGCGGGGAAGACAGGAGCAGCAAAGCAGAGCTGTGAGGGAGGTGGCCAAGATGGCGCCTGTCTTTCCTGCAGCAGCGCGCCTCTGATCAGGCACGCCTTCCCTGCATGAAAGCAGCTGGGATCTTGGCCATCTCTCCACTCCAGGGGTGGGGGAGGGAGATGGCTGCGATCTTGGTCGCCACCCAAAGCGGTGTTTGCGACCCAAGTCAATTTTTTTCAGAAATTTTTGTTCATTACCCGATTTGTTCGTGAACCAAGGCGCTCGTGAGCCAAGGTACCAGTGTAAAATGACATCTTGGTGAACCAGTCTAGTACAGTGGTACCTTGGCTCACAAACTTAATCCGTTCCAGGATCCTGGTCGTGACCCAAATTGGTCATGAGCCAAGTCAAATTTCCCCATAAGGGTCAATGTAAATAAGGTTAATCCATTCTGCAACTATTTTTTTACTCACAAAAATTTGAAGCAAAGTGACAAAGAAGAACAAAGATCGCGGCCATCTCCCCCCCCCCCGGGGGGTAGGGAACACTGGCGCAATCATGGCCATTTCCCCCCAGCACGAACGCAGCCATCTCTTCCCCCCCTTCCCCTGCATGACCGCGATTGCACCAGTGCAAGGAAGGTGGGCATGCTTGCGATCGTCACCCGATGTAGAGTTCATGACCTGTGGCAAAATTTTTATGAAAAATTGCAACCTGATTTGGTTGTGAACTGAGGCATTTGTGAACCAAGATACCACTGTATATCTAGAAATAGTTGGATCTGGCTTGAAATCCGAGGTAAATATAGCAATGAGAAGAGTATTGATTGGGAAAAAGGATAAATGGAACAACCCTTCAATAAGAAAACCTTCTTGCGTGATTGCTCAAGCTGTTTCTTGCCAATCTGCTTTTATTACTTGCCTTATGCTTTGTTGTGAGTTATTAATAATTATTGTTGTAAATGCTTTAGATAAGCATGCATTTCAAAGGAGAAGTTATTTATGTTTGCATGTTTTGATATCAAGGTAAAACATACAGATAAGAGAGCCAGTGTGGTATAATGGTTAAGAGTGTGGGACTGGGACTCAGTAAACCTCAGTTCTAGTTTCTGTTCACCCACTTTAGGCCAGGGACAGACTCTCATCCCAACCTACCTCACAGGGTAGTTGTTGAGAGGAAAAGATTGAGAGAGGAAACAAAGAGTACTCTCTTCCTTTCCTCTTCCTGGCTGTCACCTTTCTCTCCCTTTCTAACCTTATTCTCTTTCCCACTTACCCCTTTATCTCACTGTTTCTTTCCACTGAACACCTCCAGTTTCATTGCTTCTTCCCCTTTAAGCTCTTTTTCTCGTTTTTTAGTTTCCCACTAGACTAAGTTTCCCATTTACTTCCCCCCATTTCTATCTACTTCTCTCACTCTTCTTTCTCCCAGTCTCTATCCTTGTTCTGCTGCCACTGCCTTCTCCCCCACTCTATATGTCTCTGTCTCTGTCGTCTGTGTGTGTGTGTGTGTGTGTCTATAAATGTATTTCTCTATACACATATCAATATTAGTAGTGGAAGAGGATTGCAAGATCAAGAACCTCCTCCATTGGAACCTGAATATAAGCATGCAAAAATGAAAGCAACTGAGTTTTACTAGATCCTTTTTTTAAAAAAAAAAGTTTTATTATTATTTTCTACTAATTAACAAACCTAACAGAAAAAAAAAACTAAAAAATCATCAGTCATCAAAAACATCAAACCTACTGGGAGTTTTACCTAGATTCTTAGAGCCTATAAGCAGCAAAAGGTGTAGATTAAAAAAAAAACCCTCACAGCACAAAGCACACTGTTTTAAGACCTCATGTTGTTAGTAAAGAATATTCATTATTTTGTTTCATGTATGTAGAATAATAATATTTCTGCTTCATCTAAACACAGCAAATTATTTAAATTCTCTTTCAGTGATGGCAGTGTGAGTCAGTCACAGGATGACAGTATTGTGGGAACAAGACAATGCCGACATAGTTTGGCTATTATGCCTATTCCAGGAACACTCTCATCCAGCAGTCCTGATCTCTTGCAGCCTACTACCAGCATGTTGGATTTTTCTAATCCTTCAGGTAAAATAAATTAGCTTTTCCAGAGCACATCTTATAAAATATCCTATGCTGCTGAAATATATTATGGGTGATTAATTGCTGACTTTCCCCAGGATATTTTGCATTTAGCATGACATTTTATTATGTTGACTAATTACACCAAGAAACTCAGGGCAGTTGCTTTGATCTATGACTGTGATACATGCCCAAGAGTCTGGGTGTCCCAAAGTTTACTTATTCTCTTCAGTGTGTCAAAAATGTGAACACTTCTCAGTTTAGAGAGCGAGAGCAAGCAAGGAACCCTTTTGTTCTCAAAACTTTGTGGGCTCAGCAAAACCCTGCTAAGTTTTGGATTGAGGCCAGTAGGACTTTTTAAATGCATTTAGCTTTATACTTTCAGAGCTACAGCACTTTTAGCATATACAATTTGTACAGTTCAACAGGAAATAGAAAGCTATGCATTGTATTTCCCAGTGCCATTAAAGAGTTAAATCAGGATCTCTTATGTTGCAAACTGTCAGAAGTGCACTTATCACAAAGGAAAAGAGCTTTTTGCCCCTGGAACAAATGACATTCTGTTGAGGGAAACACCAAACATATCCTTATAATGATTTGTCTACAATTAACCTGGATAAGTTGTGCACATGACTCTTGTATTACAGATTATTCCATAACTTTTCTCTTTTGCAGGTGAAAACCTGTATATGTAGAGATAGAAAAATGCTTTACAGTTTTCCCAGCCAACATAGCCGATTGGCAAATGCTGGAAGAGATAGAACTTTTAAAATTCTAAACATGTGTATGATTGTTTCCCTAATTGTTTGGAAACTTGTGAACTCAATTTAAAATAATTAATTAGCAATGTGTGTATCTCTTTGTTCTTGATAATCCCCTGCCAGATTTGTAGTATGCCATCATAACCTTGCTTATCTTCTTGCTAAATAAAACAAACAAAAATGCCTACAGTTCTCAGAAAAAAAAACTTACATTTCTGTGCTCTATTTACACTTTTTGCTTAATTATGCATTTCAACACCACTTATGACATTGATTTATATTTATGCAACAGTTTATGTAGCAAACTCAGTTTACACATCTACAAGTTTCTTTTCAGATATTTTACCTGTGTTAGCTAGGATTTCCTACAAGCAGAGATTATTCAAGTGACTATTAGAGTACAGTTTTTTAATAAGAGGGAAATAAAACTTTTTTTTTGCTTAGATCTACAATTAAATTGATTTTGATTCATGTTGTCAGTGTAACACCTAGATCCTGACTTTTCTCTCCCACTTTTTTTTAAACTTGCAGCGGTTGGTTTTTACTGTAAGTATCCCAGTCATTGAAAATGTTATGTCCTGTCATGATCTATGTTTTAGAGATCATATTTGCTTGAACTATTAAGTTATTCTGCCTGTTAAAAACTAGCATGTTGCCTAAGTAGTTATTAAGGTAGAAGCAGCTTCTAAACATTATTCTGTTTCATTCTAGTGTCTGATTTTTTAATGTATGTATAAGTCAGTCTGTATGAGAATTCTTTGTTTGCGTGGCTTGAATTGGCTTGAGCATTCTCTGTGGGCTCAATTCTGTGCATATTTATATGGAAAAACTCTTGCAATGCTCCAGCATGCTTTCAAAACATACATAGTATTGAACATTAAATTATTGCTCTTTTGAGGACTGAAGATAGCCGACTTCCTAAAACATCTCATAAATGCAGTGACACGTTCCTATGCAATATTTACTTTGTCATCACAATTGAATGTTAAACAATACAACCTTGCAATGAAAAGTTTTAGAAAAAGTGAAGGTTCAGCAGAAAGCCAAAAACATATGAAGGAAAGCAGTATGTAGTTGTGACTCACTCAATTCACTATGGGAGTGTGAAGATGTGACCGTAATTGCCTTGTGAGAAGGCAACTGGTGATTTTTGAGGAGGAGTTTGTCCATACTGACTTTGCAGCCAATGTCTAGTTTGGTTAGGCTTGATATGAGCCAACATGTCATAATTGCAGGAGTGTTGAACTAGGTGTGGAGACAGCAAGTTGAAATCACTGCTCAACCATGAATCTCATTAGTGTTAGTCACTTTCTTTCAGTCTAAACTACCTTGCAAGGATATTGTATGAATACTATGGTGATTAAAATACTACATAGACTGCTTTGAGCACCCTTTGAGGATATTTAATGCAGTGGTAACAAACACTGGGTCCACAGAGGTTGGACTTTTTCATCCCTGATCATTGGTCACAATGGTAGGAGATGTAGTCCATTTTATAAGCAACCTTTTCATAAACCTAAAACACACAATGGTTTATGTAAGGGTTGCTCAGTCTATACTCAGTGGGTTTGCACAACATGAGAACACCTGAGTCGGAGTGGCATCTTCAGAAAAGCATCACCAGGGGTTCAGAAGGGGATGTATTGAATAACTCCTGGTGGGCTATTGTGTCATACCGTGCAAGCAAGCCCCATTTGTCTAGTCCTATTTTTCATCTCTTGGTTTTTGCAGGAAAGGAGACAAAATTTTCTTATCCTAAGATAAGGTAATTTCAGAAAGGTGAAAGAATTATTTCCAAATTTTCAGATTATTTGAAAGGTTCAGATAAATTGCATGCATTGTTTTCTGTTGCTGTTTTCACTTCCAAATAATTTATAGGTCTTTTGCATGTATTGCATACATTTAAATAATATGTGTTAGGAACAAATTGTGCTTTCAGTTTGCTCATGGGAGAGAGCAAGTAGGTTTCAGTGTTGCCTCAAATAATTAAAGTTATCATGTCAAGGAAAAACTTCAGATTTTGTCTAGGTGCTAATTTTCATGTGCAGGGAGTTTGTTTTATCTGGACAGATATCTTGAATGTGTACTCTTTCCACCTGCATCTGAAATGGCAGAGTATGGGGAGCTATAAACCATGTATTTTGCCTGTATATTTGAATCAGTCATTTGTCTCAACCACAGTTTTTTCTGAAAACTTATTTTTATACATTTGGATCTTTTGGTTCTGGTGCTTGGTCTGGATAGATTGGTTTATAAGAAGAAAAAAAGTGTTATTTTAAAGTATAGAACATTGCACTCATATCAATTGAATTTTTCAAATCAGAATATACTATACTATAATATAATAATTGATGCTTAACAAAAAGTGAATTGGCCACAAGAAAAAAAATCAATACACTAAATGTGAAGCTTAGAGACTCATTGATTTATGAGACACTTAGTTCTTGTCATAATCCACATCAATTGTCAAGTATAATTTTTCCTAAATCATGGTAGCATTTTGTAGTATTAAAAGGACATGGCAATACATTACTTATTTAGTCATAAGAATGCCAAAATAGCATTTGCAGAGAAGCAACATGTAGTTTAAAGTCCCACTTTTTCAGCTGAACAAAGAATATCAGAGATAACTCTTAGAAAAATTATTTTATTGTGGTCCATTTTTCTTATACAAAAAAAGAGCATTAATAGTTTGCAGTTGAAAAGCAAAACCTTAAATGAGACTTTATGCTTTCAGAGAAAATAACTTTATGCTTCATTTTAAATCTAGACATTCCAGATCAGGTTATTAGAGTTTTCAAAGCTGATCAACAGAGTTGTTACATTATCATCAGCAAGGATACTACAGCAAAAGAAGTTGTAAGCCATGCAGCACATGAATTCAATCTGACAGGAGCCCCAGACACTTACTCTCTGTGTGAAGTTTCTGTGAGTCCCGAAGGAGTTATCAAGCAGAGAAGGCTTCCTGACCAATTCTCAAAGTTAGCAGACCGAATTCAGCTCAATGGGAGGTAAGTCTACTTGTTTATTTTCATTTTAAAAGTGTGTGTGTGGGGAGGGGGGACTGAAAACAGATATAGAAATGTTTTGCGTATTCCCTATCATGTGGTAAAACCTCTAAGTTTGCATAAGAATGCAGATACTGGTAAATATAATAATGTATGGTTGCATCTTCAAAGGCCATGGCTAATGTTTAGTTTGAGCAAAGCTAGTGATTTGTGATAAAGTAAACCAACTTTAATAAAATATTGCTTATTAATTGATTAATTACACTCAGACCAGAATTTTGCTTTACTATATTCAGCTGTTTTACTCTTTCTGTATAAGCACAAATTAAAAGGCTTTTTAATGTTTGTTTCTCTCACCGTGCTTTTAGGTATTACCTGAAAAATAATATGGAAACAGAGACTCTGTGCTCAGATGAAGATGCTCAAGAATTGCTAAGAGAAAGCCAAATTTCCCTTCTACAGCTGAGCACAATTGAGGTGGCCACTCAGCTATCAATGAGAGACTTTGAATTGTTTCGGAACATTGAGCCTACTGAATATATTGATGACCTCTATAAACTTGAATCTAAAACAGGAAATGCTAACCTGAAACAGTTTGAGGATGTCATTAATCAAGAGACATTTTGGGTTGCCACAGAAATTTTATCAGAGCCAAATCAGCTCAAAAGGATGAAGATCATAAAACATTTCATCAAAATTGCTCTCCATTGTCGAGAGTGCAAGAATTTCAACTCTATGTTTGCTGTTATAAGGTAGATTGCTCTCTTTTAACAGATAATAATTGCAAAAAAAATTCAGAACTTGATACTAGCCAATCATCTCAGAACTTGAGTGATTATTAGCAAACTTGGGATATAAAAACCTGATAGTGTAATCAATCTGTAATATTTGAATGGCAAAAACTAAACAAGGTAGGGACAAATCTTTAGGCTTGTGTGGTAGAAATATATTAATACATTTCTACCTAATATTCCTAAAGAGTCATATATAACTTATTTGATTCTCTCTCTTTCTGCCTTTTTCTGTATTTATATAAATTATATAGTTCAGTAATGCAGATGATAAACTGCAAGTTGTTTAACCATGCCTCAATAATCAAACAAAAGCTCTGCAGCATGTATTTTCACAAACTATTTTAACCTTAAGCATATGTCAACAGTTTTTTGCTTAAACAAGTGTTCTTGGCTTGCTTTAACTGTGGTTTGTTGAAGCATAATACTTATCTGTAGCTAAAGCTGGTGATAGGAGATGATGGGGGGAAGCTCGTGATTGCATAATGTTCTGATGTCCTCCTTTAGTATAAAAAAAAGTGTGAGATAGACCCTACAATCCTAAGATCTGAGGTTTTAACTGTTACAAGCTGGAAGTTCCAGTTTAAAGTGTCCCTAAATGTGAACCCCAGATAGCTAAAACAATGACATTGTTTGATTGAGTTACCAAGAATTCTCCAAGATGAAATTCTGGGTTATTTTCCCGAAGACCATTACTTTGGTCTTAGAGTAATTTGTGTTAAGATCTTCTTTACAATAGTGCCCTGATTGCTGTAAAACCAATTTTAGTTTGGGCCATGGTCAACTAAGACCCTTCTGTATACAAAGGGACATGGGGCCCTTCTTTGTAATTATTTCAGGGGATGCCAGTTCTCTGCTTTCCTCAGAACTACAGGGAAATCACACAACAGAAGTGATATCATGGATGCTTTTTCCAAGCAACGCTTTATTTTAAAAAATCAATTAATACAATGGTACTTATTTAGTACTTGGTAATGTATGAAAAAGGGACTGCAGGTGGCGCAGTGGTCAACCGCTGTGCTGCTGGGCTAGTTGATCGAAAGGTCGCTGGTTCGAATCTGCACAACGGGGTGAGTTCCCATTGCTCTGTCCCATCTCCTGCCAACCTTGCAGTTCGAAAGCATGCAAATGCAAGTAGATAAAAAGGTACCATTTCGGTGGGCAGGTAACAGCATTCCATGCACTTCGGTGTTTAGTCATGCCGGCCACATGACCACGGAGACTGTCTGTGTCTGCGGACAAATGCTGGCTCCCTCGGCTAGGAAATGGAGATGAGCACTGCCCCCTAGAGTCAGTCATGACTGGACGTAATGTCAAGGGGAAACCTTTACCTTTTTTACTTTTAATGTATGAAAAAAAAATCTCTTGCAGTGGTCTTAATCTGGCACCAGTAGCTCGACTCAGAGGAACATGGGAAAAGTTACCAAACAAATATGAGAAACACCTTCGAGATCTTCAAGACCTTTTTGATCCATCTAGAAACATGGCAAAGTATCGCAACATCCTTAGCAGTCAGAGCATGCAACCTCCAATTATTCCACTCTTTCCTGTTGTCAAGAAAGATATTACGTTTCTTCATGAAGGTAACTTCAGATACATAAAATGAGCCTGCTTATTGAACTGCATATTAATACTTCATTGGTTTGTGTTGGGGGATCTGAAATCTGTTGCCAAAGAGGAGTAACCTTTATACTAGGCATACTTGATGTGATTAAGACTAAGGCTAGATATACTATTGTGCACATAGTAGAATAATTAAATTCTAAGCAGAGGCTTATTTGTTAGATACCATACATGCTGTTTGTAAAATATCGGTCTTTTACTCTATTAGTGTAAACTTAATGGAATGGATTTTAGCTATATCAGTTGATTACTGTGTAGGCAGAGCAACCTTGTGGTCCCTGGACAGCATCTAGAAGGGCATGGGATCATTTGTGTTCTGAGATCCAAGGATGGAAAATTGCTTTGTACTGAGAAATCCACAGCCAGTGTGGAAAGTACTACAGTGGCTGCATCTCCAAGGTTGAAATAGTGACCTTTGAGGAAGAATGAAGAGGGAATTTTGGTGGGAAGCACACAGCAGAGATGTTGCAGCCTCCTCTCCTCACTGATTGACGTGCCAAAATATCCTTCTGGATGATTTGCAAGGTGGGAAGATCATGGAGGTGGAGAGTGCCTCCAAGTTCCTCCAGCACTGCATAGGGTTCTTGTAATTGTTCCAGATTGGAGCATTGGTGTTATCCTCACTGAATTATGCCCTTAAATAATCTACTCATGGCTACAAACAGTAATTTTGAAGGGGGAAAAGTATATTTAGTTTTAGATGCTATGTATTGTAGAATTCTATATTTTTCTTTTAGGAAAAGCATTTCTTTTTGAGAGAGAGATGAGAACATGGCTCTTCTAAAATGAGGCATCTACTCTTTTTTCTTTTTGAATACTTGTATTGCAACAAACAAATAATACAAATTGTCAGAAATGTTAATTTGAGGCATCTTTTCACTTGATTCAGTCTAATGGATCACCTACCTAATCTTTGCAATCCTGTTTAATTTATATTTAATATTTACTTCCACTTAAATCAAAAAGAGATATGATAGTGTGTCTTCTCAAGGGTGGAGCTGTGTTTTGTTTTGTTTTATTATTTTCAAAAGTTTCTATTCCACCATAAAAGCTCAGTAATAAAAAAACTCAGTGCACCTTACACAGCTGAAAGTTTTATTTTCTTTATAACACCCCCCCCCCCCGTCTCTCATTTAAATCTCAGTTCAGGCCTGAATTCACTGGTATTCTTAGGGAATTTACTGTATTTCTGGCATGTGTTATTATATCATTATTTCAAATATGTCCCTCCATATTCTTCATTATGCTGTTGGTGGTTAAATGTGTGTGTGGTTAGTGATACTCAGATATCAATTCATAGAATGAAACTGTGTTTTTCTAACATTACTTAAAATCATTCTTCACCTTTATTAATTACAGTTGTGAAAATTCTGTGTAGGTAAGTCTATGCCATGAGCAGAGCTGGGTAGAGCCGGGGATCAGACTAGATGGCCTGGGAGGCCCCTTCTGTCTCATTATGTTTCTGTGTATAATCCTTGGATGTAGTTCTGGATCCAAATGCAATGTTATGGACAGTCTTTGTTTATAGTATACATTATTTTATTTGTAATACTTCTACTGCTCCAATTGGCAAATGATACAACTTCTAGTAGCAGATATCTTACAGAATGTGCCTTGCTGGAGCTTATTGGAATTCTGGCCTCTACAACATAAAAACCATCCCTAAGAACTTAGGGATGTGACATATCAGGCTATAATACAATAAATCAGACAGTGTCAAAGTAAATATGAATGCTTGGAATGGAATGGAATACTTTTACCTAGTTGTGTGTAACAGCATCTCTCTCTTTGCATCCTTACTTCTATGCCCATTTCATCATTCCTTTTACACATAGTATAATGGCATCCATCTCCCTCCCTTGCCCATTCTTTCATAACTGGGTAGAATTTCTTTCTACATACAGGTTGTTTTAATGGTTCTTGTGAAATATATTGGGTTTAAGTGATGGATCAGTGCTATTCATAAATGTTCTGCTGTCTGAACCAATTGTGCTGTCACCATTAAAAAAATTGTAAGAAACAGGAGATGGTAAAGAAGGAAAACAGAGAGAGGAATGGTGACTGAAAGCAAAGAAAGATAAAGGGATAAGTTCAGGCAGTGCAGTATTTTTCCTGTCTTGCAACTTTTACCTGCCCAGTTATTAATGTACAGGAATGCACCTTCTATTTGTTAGCATAGGCCTCAAAAATTGGATGAATGCAATTTAGAAAAAAATAAAATTAGTTTCATTTTCTAATTTAAGGAGATTGGGATGGACCCTGTGTCTGAAAACTGTGGGGAGGATAAATTCTTTCCCACCTAAATTAAAAGTAGGGCCAGTTTTAAAAATGAACTGTCTTGTTGCTGTCAGTTTCATGAACCCTTTTATTGTTGAAAAATCAAGGTTAGCACAGTCCAGTTGTTACATTTCTTTTCAGCTGATAGCTGTCACTTTGAAAACAATAGAGGGAAGTTAAAGCTGGATTTCTTCTGTGTTCTGACTGGCATTTGTGCTCCCCCTTACATGTTCTCATGCTTTTTTACTGATTGCTTGTATTCAAGCCCATTGACATATGATGATGACATTGGTGATATATAAGAGAAATAATCTGTTAATCTTGGAAGTGTTTGGAGATTCTTAAAAGCTTTTGTGCATATTTTAATTGTATAGGAAATGATTCAAAGGTTGATGGTTTGGTAAATTTTGAGAAACTCAGAATGATTGCCAAAGAGATTCGTCAAGTCATCAGAATGACTTCTGCTAATATGGATCCCGCTGTAATGTTCAGACAAAGGTATGGCATTTGAAACAGAACTGGGGGTGGGTATGGACAAGGAAAAATATGTTAATGTTTATATTTTATTTGCATTTCTTATTAACATTTATCATGGGAAAGTGAATGTGAAATAAATGTAGATGTTCTGTTAATTCTAGTTGCAATGTTTGAGTGGAGGTCTAAAAACTAAAGAATTGACAGTTTTAAAAAAGTTTAACAGGGCATATTGCAATATATATTGAATAAAATACAACAACAGGGAAAACCATGCAGAGCTAATTCAGTGAAGTTTGACAGCTAATTATGATTTGATTTTTGGCACTGAAAATGTAACCCAGCATATCACTAAAATGGAACTGACACATTTAAAATTCAGCTGAGATACAATTAGTGACAGTAGTTAACTCTTTTGCATTGTCCTTGAGATAAATTGCAGATTCTTATATAAAGAAACAATTACCAAAATCTAGATGGAGAAACAAATGATTTGAGGAAAACTCCATCTACACACATAACTTGAGGTCCTCCCCACAACATTGTCTTTTAAATTCCAACCCTTCTGTTTTGTGTGTTTCTGTATAGCCATGTATTATAACAAGTGTTGTCTTTGTAATCCATTGAAATATTTTTCTCACTGTTTTGAAAAGTGTTTTTACCTGATTGAAATTTTCATTTCTATTCCTGTCTACATTCTTTTTCCTTTCTGACTTTCAACTGTGATTTCCCCCTTTTGCTTTTCTTTTTAAATACATGCTTCATTGTATATGGCTCTTGCTTACAGGAAGAAGAGGTGGAGAAGTTTGGGGTAAGTGTAGAGATTAATGCAACTAAGATTTTTTTTTAAAAAAAAGTTATGCAGCTTTTAACATTCTGCATCTTCATTAGTGCATGCCCCTGAACCAAAGCATGCATTTTATTAACATTGCAATACTTGTTTCTAACTGTTCCCAAGCTGAAGGGAAAACATCAAGGGAAACCATGATGAGAATTCAGGTATTCTAGACATACCTGAATGGAGCCATATGCATGTTGGGGCATAAAATCCCAACTTCACTTAATAAGTTGATAGGAACTGAGCTAGTGGAGAATGATCAAAACAAAAAAGCTATCTCGGGGATGTGGTAAACAGCGGCAGCTGTGAAAAAGCTGTTGCAAGAGTGTCTGTGAAAAAGACAAATTCTGTGTTGGGCATAATTAGGAAAGGAAATGGAAATAAATCTACCAATATTTTTCTCCCTTTACACAAATCTGCAGTGGCCCTCAGTTACAATAAAGTGTACAGTTCACTGACCTAATAAAGGATATTGTATAGTAGGAAAATGGAGAAAAGGGCATCATGCTGCTTGAGCAACTCCCGTGTAAAGAAAAGTTGCAATAGCTGGGACTTTTCAGCTTAGAAAAAGGGCAACTAAACTGGGACATAACTGAAGTGTACAAAATTAAGCATATTATGGAAAAGGGGGAGAGGAAGACATTTTCTTTCTCTCTCATAATACTAAAATCCCATGAAGCTGATTAGTGGGAAATTCAGAACAGATTAAAAAAGTATTTTTTACACAATGCATGATTAGGAAATTCATTTCTGCAAGATGCAGTGGTAGCCACCAGTTTGGAGGGCTTTAAATAGGATTAAATAAGTTCATGGAGCCTGTCCGTCTATGGCTGCTAGCCTGATGGCTGTATGATACAGTATCAGAGTATCCTTTATGCCATACTTTTAGGTTTCGTGTGGGTGGCTCGCCGGCCTCTGCATGAGCAGCACTTGGTTTGATTCAGCGTGGCTGTTTAGTAAGTTCTTGGGAGGAGAAATGGCCCTCTGCATGGGTCCCTACAAGCCACTAGGTGCTGTGATCAGCAAGTGCCTACAGGAGGAGACATCTTTGTAAGCTTCAGGCGGCATATGAATGATGGGTCTCTACATAAGACTTTTTGACAGAGGGCCCATGTTTCACCAATCTGGCACAGAAAGCTTGCTGTATATGTTGATATCAGTGTGTGCTCATTGCTAGTAGAAGACTCTGTGGATTCAGCTAGACCAGTCTGATGTTTGCCACTGTAGAAATGGACCTGCCACACCCTCTGGAATTTCTAGCAAGTCTTCAAAACATCTTTCTCCCAAAGTTATGTGGATGGAGTGCATCTCTAACTGAATTTCCATGTGTATGGAATTCAGTAGCAGCTTTACAAATATGAAAGTTTTAAACACTTCAAAACACATAAAATGATGAGGTCACTTCCATCAAGTTTTTGTATCTATTGATTAGGTCAAGAAGCAGAGTTTCAGTCCGTCCCTGTTTTGTTTTTTGTTTTGTTTTTTTTAATAGAACAAATAGCATAAGTATTTGATGCATCCCTACATCTTATAGACATATCAAATGGCACTGTGGGTGATAGTCTTTTGATCTCATGATGTGGAAGTTCTTATTTACTGATAACAAATTTCTAAGACCATATTCTTTTGGGAAGACATTAAAAGCGTCTTCCTTATAAATGCAGAGTAGCAAAGCTCTGGTTTAAAATGGTTATATTTTGTCACATTTTATTGGAAATATTGTTGATCTCTTGAGTGTATGTGAAGAACTGGTATTGTCAACATTATTGAATCTAATGTTTCAGCTACACACATGCAACCAAAAGATAAAGCAGCTAGCCCAGTTTAATAAATCCATAGTTTCACTCCATATCCAAAAAATCAGCCTATTAAAGTGAATGGGAAGCTATTCCAGGCAGTGAAGCTCTGCACACTGGATATTGGAGCTCTTATGCTCAGACCATTTAAAAGATTAGTAAGGAATGCATAATATATCCATTTCTGTCATGAGAAATATTCATTGCCAGAGGTATCATTGAAAAGAGGAAAAATTAGCAGTTACTGCTGTAATGTTAAAATGAGATATTACTGAGATGAGGAATCTGTAGAGAAATGGAATTTCTTTCCCTTGAGAAATTTTGTTCAATCTTTATAGTAATAAAAAAATCAGCTTTGATTTTAGGAATGGACAATAGTTAGATTTTCAGTGTTGATAATGGCCAAATGGCTAAAGAACAGGTACTTGCTCTAGATTATCCATATTCAAAATAAAGGACAGACACCCATTTCTGCTTTGTTTAGCTTGTACTTTTTTGGGAAAGTTATGTTTGTTTAAGTAAGAAGTTATTTATGAGAGCTTTCAGTTGGCAAGGTGTTAAAATTATCCATATTGTATCTTAAATCAAAGCTACCAGGTTAGTAGCTTTATACTGTTGAATGCTATCAGTTACATAACTTGACTTTCCATCTTGTGATTTGTGAATGTTTATAATTATGAAGCTTTCCCATGTTAAATCTGTGTGATGCCTTTATCAGCCCTTTGGTAACAAATTAGCAATCAGCCTTCATAAGACTGAATTTGTGTTCATTTAAACTTGTTGTTCCTTTATGCATATTAATTTGACTCAGTGTGTCTCTTTTTTTAAGTACTTGCATCACAAATTCCTACGTTTTCTGTTTCTTGAAATCTGCATCCTATGAAAAGCATAAGTAATTAAGAGTATATACCCCTTGGCTGTTTTCCCTTTTGTGATATTGAAGAACTGGGCTAAATTTTAAAAATACAGTTTAAAAATCAATTTCATAAAAATTGGTAGTTCACTATTTAAAAGAATATGCATGGTGATGCTTCAGCGGTGTTTCTATGTCATTTTTCTTTGTTTGACAATAACATTTAAACATGTAAAAATAAAGTTATGCAGTTAAGCTGCAGTCCAAAATGAAGTTTAAAGTACATACTAGGACTTTCTTGTATGTTCAGAGACTTTAAAAAAGTGACCCCTGGAATTAAAACTTATTCTTGAAAGTGAGTGGTGCACTCAAAGACATTAAAACAGGTATTGCAAGATTTCTGACAGGCAAGAAACCCAATGATAGTAGGTTTCATCAGAGAAACAGCAGGCTTCTTCCTTATCTGACATTCTAGCTTATAACTTGTCAGATATGTTCAAACTTATATCTTTTTACATCTTAATAACTTCTGTTCCTTTGTCCCTCACTTACTGTACCCCCTTCTGTTTCTCACTCTCTTTACAGTTTCTCCTCACTTATTTTACCAGAAATGTAATGTTGCTTCCTTTCTCTTTCTTGACACTATTACATATACAACAGAATCCTTAAATCCTTCCCTTTTCCCATTATTCTTTATCTCCTTATTCTTTATTCTTTGAGCTGAATATTTCCTTCAGCTCAAACATTTCCTCTTGCGTTCACCCTTTCCCATCTTTTTAATGGATAAACTTAGAATAAGGCCAAAGACATTTGTATTTATGTTTCTTCCTGAAGAGATCTCTGCACCTCATAAGTGTGGAGTTTTCATATGTGTGCCACCATGAAAATGTGCCCCTCTTTAGTTACTTATGATTTTTTAAAACCCTCACATATTCTCCCTGAGGTTATGGTATCTTTCATGCCCCTTTCCCCAGCAGCAGTGGTTTCCTATCCTGAATTGGAAGATGGTTGTCAAAATGACTAGAGTTATGTAGTTGCTTCTCAGGAGCTGCTTGTAAGAGACCAAAATTCTTCCCAGTCATGCTGAGTATACCACAAAGAGCATTTAAGACTAGCCATATTATACTTGTAGGAACTTAACTCCAACATATCTGGAGAGCACCAGGTTGTGGGAATTGGTTTAAATTAACCCTGATTAATTTGTACTGCTTCACATTAAAACACAAGAAAAAATGGGCACTTTAAAGACACAAGCTTTTAGAGATAATAAAACATACTTCTGTTTAATTCTTAAGCTGTGTATCTAATAAAAGCAAAGCTTTTTTTATCTCAAGCTATTTTGCCAGCAATAATAAAGTGAATTGGACTTTTGTGATCATTGAAGAATTTAAAGGACTTAGTTGATGTTGATAATGTTCTATCTGATCTGTATTCATGGCACCGTGCTCCTATTTGACAAGTACTGATCACAGCCCACATTCATGTGGTTCAGTGACAGTGCTCTTGCTTTTTCTCCAGCAGTTTTCCCTGCTGAAGTGCTGGAATAAAACCCTCCAACAGCGTGTACATGCACACTGAAATCTCTTGATCACAGCTAGTATGCTTGTTCTCCTTCAGAAGAAGAATACTAAATTATAGCAGCTGCCCAGAAAATCTTGAATTAATCTCTCTTAGGGAAGTCACCTTTTGTTTTTCAACGAACATATTACAGTCTTCTGATAAATAGGGAAAATGTATTTACCAGTGATGCCATGCCAGTTTATTCAGGAACATGTTGGAACTATGAAGACTGGTTGCTTTTATGACTGTTAACTGTTATTAGAGATTAATATTAATTCAGTGAAATCTTCATGTTTGAGATTTAGATTTTTGTTTTATTGTAATATTCAGATTCCAACTTCTGATACTGGAAAACTGAGAGAGATAGAAGGAAAGAGTAATCCAATAACCATTTTGCTCCTACTTCATTGTGCTGGGACCAACTTACTTTATGCAGCAGAATTCAGAAAGGCTGGGAAATTAATTTTCCATTCTAAATCCCATACAGAAATAGTATTTCAATGCAGAAGAGGCCTAGTAACATATATTAGGAGAAGCTTATATAGCAGTTTTTTCAGTTCTGGATCATTGCATACTTTTTGCTTAGCAATTCTTTTCTGGACATATTAACTCTGTTACCAGTTTTGCAAGTTACTTTAGAACAAATGTTGTGTTAACACTATTCATCTCTTTTTAACTTGACATCAGCATGCGCTTCTAATGGAAGAGTATTTGTGCTTCTATGTTGGCTACTTCGATACTTCACTACTAAATGAAATGGAAACTTAACAGCCTGGATATTTTATTTTACAGGTCACTAAGTCAGGGCAGCACAAACTCAAACATGTTGGATGTTCAAGGAGGTGCTCACAAAAAAAGGGCTCGACGCAGCTCCCTACTAAATGCAAAAAAGCTGTATGAAGATGCTCAGATGGCCAGGAAAGTCAAACAGTACTTGTCCAACTTGAATGTAGAAACGGATGAAGAAAAGTTCCAGTTAATGTCCATTCAGTGTGAACCTGCTTATAGCACTTGTAAGTAAAATTTAAAATAGGTATGCAGACATAGGTAAATTAAGTATTTTATTACAATGGAAAACAAGATAAGGGCAGAGGAGAAGCCGTATGCATCTGTTCAAAGGGGTCATTGCAGAGGAAGACCAATATTTTTAATGCTGTAAAGAACTATACATAAGTTCTTCTGCAGAGAAGATCTTTTTATTTGCCCAGGCCTTTTATTTCTGTTTATGTTGTTATTCTCCCCCCCCCGCCCCACCAGAAAAAAAACATGATTTCACATGCAATGCTAAGCCACAGTGGCTTAGCATTATGTGTGAATTGCCCACTGACAACCACAAATCCATGAGTGCATTTTGCACAGTTTGACTGCATAGATAGGTCAGAGCTGCGACTGGTTGCACCATTACTGGTTCCAAAGCTACACTGGTTTTAGGAATAGCAGGAGATCTAGTATTAAGCATAGATGAATAGCTTCATGATAATGGAAAATTAAACAGTATAGCATATGTTATGAATCGAGTCTGCCACCTAGTGAAAAATTGGAGGTACCTTTCTGAGGAACCAATACATTTTCTCAAGGTCCTTAGTCTCTCATAATAATCCAGGCTTAGCCATACTTGGAGTAGACCTACTGAAATCAGTGGAAAAAATTAAAAAGTGTTTTAAGTCCTGTGGATTTTAGTGTATGACTAAATTTGGATTGAACTGATCATTTGAATTAATATATCATCTTCTGTTTCAGTAGACATTCTTTTTTAATTATGTGATTCTTTGGCTTATAAAATAGGTAATAAGTATTAAGTGAAAACTATTATGTTCCTTTCTCCTCCATGTCAGTGACAAAAAATGTAAATGAACGGCGAGGTGCAAAAGCTGCAGAAATGTCTCCAATGCCACTGAGGTCTGTTGGTCAAACCACAAAAGCCCATTTACACCAACAAAACCGAATGAGTCAAGTCCTTCAAGTTCCAGCTGTTAACTTGTATCCCATTAGAAAAAAGGGACCAGCAAAAGACCATGTCACTTTCAGTGAGTATTTATATACATTAAAATATATGTTAAAAAAAGAAAATAAAATTTCTATATCAAAATGGTAGATGGAGATTTTGCAGAAAGTGTCTTTAGATTTATCTTACAACAGCTCAGATTTGTTTCCATTTTGTTATAGTCATATCGGAGCATATTATTAGATTATGAACCATCATAATTTTAGCAGCTATTGATTTGTTTGCTTTAACTATTTCTATCTCAGGTTACAGTACATACATCTTACCAAGCTTATTTACAAATAAGACCAACGTATAATAATAAAATTTCAATATCAGAACAGAATATTTCATCATTAACTTTAATTTGGCCCTATGTAGGTCAGCTAGAAAAAGTTCTGATAGGTTTTCTTTCATACCTTTTTCCTTCTTCCCACCTTTGCCTATTGTACCTGATGTGTATCTATTATTCAGTTGAAACATTTTTCCAGTAAGTTGAGAAGTATCTTCTTCGATTAGAAATATTCAAGAACCTAACTGTTGTCTCATAAAACACCTTTGCCATTTGGCATATATTTGATTGTCTGTGCTGAATATCAGTTGCTTTAGTATGGACTTGGGATAATAGATAGAGAAACAGTCCCAATGGCTCTGCGTTGTGTACAGTTATTTTGGTTTCACCTGTCTTTAAGTGCCAGCTGAACCTAAAATCAAGGGTCATAAATTATGTCCTTGCTCAGTAGCCAAATATTATTCCGTCTGCTTTTTAACAAGATGTAATACAATATCTCTGAATGCATGCATAGTATCTTTCATTTTGTATACAACCAGTGTCCGCGTGCTCATCCCACTGAATTAAAGAGCAGGATTAATAATACAGATACTATTGTTCCTCATAGGCTTCAATTTCTGAAAATGAAACAAGTCAGTCTTTTGTTTATCTGCCTCCATAAGGCAAAGGAAAATAATTTCCTTTGGTCTCTCCTTTTTGGTGTAAAAGCGTAAAATGAGAAAGAAAAGCTAGTTGCAAGTAGGAAACTGAGAAAGGATAAGAAAGAAGCAAGTTATGGGACATTTGAAATTGCCCTCCTCCTTCTCCCTTCAGTCAATCAATTTACAAAGCAAACAGCAAAAACAGTAACAAAAAAACCCCTTGCAATTGGAATGAACTAGCAGTAATTTTCTGACTTCAGCACTATGGCATGTTCTTAGAAGAAATATATATTTCTACGGCAAGAGCTGGACCTGCTAGTTTCCAGGAGGTTATTTTGAGAAGAGGACATTGAAAGTTGGATATCACACTTCGTACATAGTGCTACACAAACCATGGATGGTGGTTTCCTGGTTTATGTTACGGCTCCAGCCAGTTTGACCAAGCCTGTACCAATGTGCATGCATCTTCTGAGAATGTTCTGAGTTTCATGATGTAGTGATAGTGAATCTTTTTGAAAGGGTGCAGGAATAGTTTTAGTCACGGCCCTTGTAATTCAAGCATCTTGGGAAACCCAAATATCCCTTTGCAGGAATTTCCCAGTAGGAATTGATGAAATGAAGATTTTTTATTTTCTATTATATTCATTGGTACAGGTTCTCCGCAGAAGTCCCTGAGTTTGTCTGAAGAAGCAAATAGTAAAAAACAAACAGAAGACAATATATCTATGGCTTCTTCTTTGCATTCCAGTCCTCCTGCATCTCCGCAGGGTTCTCCACGCAAAGGTAAGAGTATTCATATTTATTTTGATTTAATTTCATTCATTATTTCATTTCTGTATCACCCAGTAGCTGATGTTCCCTGGGTGATTAACAGCAATTTATAAAATAACGTAGGATACAAAAATAGAATATAACAAAGCAGCGTAACATGTCAACACAAACTCCAAAACAGTATTTTTTAAAAATTGACAGCTGCAACAAATTCAGGCATCCCTTCGCTGAACCAGTGCCTCCTAAATGGCAACTCCTGCCATGCTTTAAAACTCTCTGGGACCCTATTTTAGAATATAGGGTCTAAAATGTATTCCTTGTTAAAGTTCAGATGGATTTGATATATTTATAATGGACATATTTTATTAATTGGGGCAAAGAAAATAAACTTGAGGTGTTCACTAGTGTGTCTGGATGTTTTAGTGTTAAAATGTGTGCATTGTTTCACTCATATGATTTATATTTTGGTTCTGGCTTTGGTTTTGGTGACTTGAGAGTAATTTGTAATTACTGCTATGTTCTGCCTTTTATGTGAATTGATTTTTTTTTAATCAGTAGGAAAAACCTGGATATTCCACTGCTTTCTTATCTATGTGGTGCAGGTGCTTTTAAAATCTGTTTTTATTTTATATCAATTAAAGAATTATCTTTAATTGCTATTTTATATCAATTTAAGAAAGCCTTGTTTTGATAAAAGTAGCCTGTGTTCTGCTACATATTTGTGTTACTGTCTCATTACAGAACTAAAATTAGACGACCTGTTCTCTAACCAATTAAGCATTGACAGCTACTTACGTAACTGCAAGTTGTTGCACCCCCTTTTTTAGTATATTGAACTTTAACATTATATAGATTAAATACCAAAGAGAGTCTTCATTTTACTGTGACTATATTATTTACTTTGTGTGTTCCTTTCTTTGTAGTCGGTAACCCCCAGAGGTCTGATAACTGCAGTCATATTAATCTCTCTGGCTCATCCTCATCTTTGGCCAGTGAAACAAGCAACAAGAACAGTGGACAACGCAGCTATGGCATAGGTGGGGCTTATTTGCAAAAGAAAATCCAGCAAATGACTAGCAGGACAGAAGAAAGATCAGTCAGTACTGAAAAGACAGAAAGTGAGAATGCTAGAGGCAAGACAGAGCTTGTGTTCAAGCCCAGGAAAAGAATGGGGTCCCCCTTTGGAAGATTCAGGGAAAGAAGTATCTCCAGGGAAAGGCCAGCTTTCGCCCCTGACATGGACACAGAGTGCATGCAAGAGAGGGACAGAAGTGAGAAACAAAAGGACATAGACAGTAATGTGTTGCTTACAGCCAGTAGCCATGGAAACAGTAGTTCTCTGATGTGGTTGTGTCCACAGTTGAGGCACAAAAGAAGAAAGACTGTATGATATGCTGTTCTGTTTCTAATGGGCTTTAATGTTGTATATGCTTTCAACTACATTCAGTATTTTATTTATGATTATCTGTGGCACAATGTTCAATTTTTTCAGATATACAGATTGATATTGGCATGATACATTCCTTTTGTATATATCCCTTCCACATTTTGAATCTGGAAGGCTTTTTGTAGATTCAGAAAACTTTTTACTCTCCTTAGAAGGCTATGCAATGCATTCTGCTGGTACGGACTGGGTTTTCCAGTTTTCCTTTAAAAGTAGACTCAAAGCTCATTTGCAGATTAAAACTGTCCGTCCACAGCTGTCTAGCTTTTGTGTAGGCACTGCACAGAGGGTGAAAAGCCTCCAGTGATTTATGGGACTGTGTTTACTAATGGAAAATTTGTTTTTCTGTTGCTGTTTTTTAATAATGGTAAAAGCCAGTAGTCACACGTAAAAGCTATTCACTCATGAGCATAGTATACCTGCTCGTTAATATAAGAAGCTCAAGGGGGCAGGTTCACACACTTACTTGTGCAAAGCAACTTTGTTTTCAGTGACAGTTCTGCTAATGAAAACTGTTCGTGTAATTTGCATGAATATGAGCAAAATAAACAGAACTGAGGTAATAGTGGTTGCTACACACAAAATAATTGTCTCTACCTTCAAGCATTAGAAATGGAAAGGACATGATGTGCATATAGAAACCAAGTCTAGAGATCAATCATAGCCATATTTTACTTTGAAAGAAGTCCCACTGAAGTTGATGGATTTCCTTGAGAATAACTGCATAAGTTTGCATATTAGTCTTTTGCATTTTTAGAGATCTCAGCTAGTTATAGGCATACAGTAGCATGATTCAAGTGTTTTACAACTTAAAAAGCAATACAGTTAATTCAATAACTGTATTAAATAACAGCATTTTTGTGCATTGTTTTAATTTTACATTCTGAGTTTTTGATGGCAAGTTTTTAGTTTTAGTTCTATTTTTGTTATATAGATGGATATTAGTCTACATTAAGAGTATGAATTTAAAATAATCAGTTGGAATATAGTTGTCTCCATTGAATTATCAGTTCTTCTCACTTGACAAATACCACAATTTTGATTACTCAGTCAGCCCTAACCCTTTATTAAAATACCTTTAAGAAGTATGAAAGGTAATTAATGCATACCACCTACCTCCAAATTTAAGGTATTGATTTTGCTTCCGTAATCTAGTTTACGTTTATCATTTGTGATTTTTTTTCCCATGTATGAATTCATAGAGGCCAACAAAGTTTTTTTTAAACTTTCACAGAAGTTCAGATATTGTATCATTCCTAAATAAAGGTAATAAATCTTGGCCACAATGACTCACTGAAATATAGTGTAGCCTGTATAAACATTGAAAAGGACATCTCCACAAGAATATGGGTGTTATTTCTGCCCTTGTATCCTATATGCTCTTGCACCAATTTTAAACAGGAAGAACTTAAAAAATAGTTTGGAGATTCATTTGAAGCAGGGACCAAAATCTTCTCTATCCTCCCCACATAAAATTTCTTGGATATATTTATAACACCAAAACTGTAAGTTGCCTTTCAGCTTGTAATGTGGGGGCAGCTACTAAAAGAGATGGTTATGTACACATTTCCATAGATCATAACCGAAATCCTTAGACAATTCATGCATAATTGGATGGTTACTTCCCCTTCAAACAAGGCATGCCACCTGGGGTTGGATAATATAACAAGGTAATGAAGCAAATGCTTCCAAGCAGACATAGCAACTTAAACAAGTTTCGGTGATGATGTGAACTTAGATTTAATTTTGAAATGTCACTCCTTTGGGCTGAGCTCCCTGGAATTGACACAAAGCTCATGATGAGAGGGAAAGAGATTTGAAATTTTTAGACAACAGGCAGCAGAAGCGGACAACATTAAGCCAGCCATATCCAAATTGATGTTCTCCAGATATTTGGGTTTTAGCTCTAATTAGCTTCTCCCAACATGGCCAATGGTCAGGAATCTGGAGTTGTAGTCCAAAACATATTGAAGGCACTATGTTAGTAAAGGCTGCATTAAACAGCCTCTTCCACCCTGCTAGTCATCTACTTCCAAATGTAGTCTTCAAAATTGGTTTTTATGAAATAATTTGACAAAAAATCCATATCTTGTCTAGTTTGTACCTCAGAAGACTGGTTTTGCTTGAGCTAAACATGGGAACTCCCCATGCTTATTGCAATAGTCTAAAGCCAAAAGTATGATATGCACTTGCTGTTAAGGTGGAACTTTTGTCCCTTTGAACAGTATTTCAGCTAGAGTTTACACTTAGCACTATTAGGTTGGGAAGGAGGTGTGCATCTAATGTGTAGTTTTTTCTTAATTGCTTAAACAAGTTTCTACAACTCTTTTATGGCTACTGCGTACTCCTATATACATGCTAGCTAAAAAGTTTAGGTTCATAACTCTTATGTTTTAGTCTGGAATTTTAGCTTTAAAAATCAGCTTGAAACACAGAGTAATTTAAGGAGCCAATAATGCAACATAATAATGCTCCACAGTACAGCTGATATAAGACTCTATTTGAAGCTCATAGTTTCAAAATTTGAGAGACAGCTATGAGGTATTATCACTATGTGGCATTCACACAAAGTGAATTCATACTATAGCTCTAGAATTACCTTTCCTTTCTCACCTTACTTTCAGTTGTTCTTGCTGATATAATCAAAATTCAAGTGAATTATGATTACATTCTTGTAATACCATATTTCACATTCCTCTGTGTCACCCTTAGTTCAGATTAGCAGATGAGAAAGTTAATGCCATGCTCACTTTCTAATGATTGACCTAAGTGCCTTCTTGAGATTTATTTATTTATTTGTTTATTGCAGAGAATTAGACTTTTCCAGTCCTAGCCAGCTGAAACTGAGATGCCTATCCAGAATATGTAAATGTAAAATTTCTGCTCAGCTTGTATTTCTTTGATTTACAAAGTAAATCCTGATGAATTTTGCAGCCTTAATACTTAAAATTAATAGCAGAATAATAAGACTTACTGCTGTCTCCGTTTTGTTGAATGTGGAATGCCAAAGAGCTTCATTTCAGTTATCAAATGATAAGTTTCAAAACTTATCTGAAATATTTCAGTGGAGACATTGGCCTGGCCTGTACAGGTAACAAAATGAAATTACAGAATTTCCCTACTTTTCAAACCCTCTTAAATATTATGTATATAAAAATCAGCATATTGGAAATAATGTTTTAGCCCAACCTGTGTACAGCCCACTCTGGTTTTCTACTTTCAGATCGAGTGTGTGTGTGTGTATACACACATGTGCGCACTTTCAGATATGTGAGCTCCTGCCACCTCCAAATTGTTAGGTACAGTTCACCTCAGCATTTTGCAATTGAATCCCACTTTATCTACTGCATTCCATACTACTTCTTCAGAAGATGTTCCTGATCTTCTACACTTTTCTATGCGATAAACGGAGACTTGTCCCAGATTTGAGCATTTTCTTGATTTGATAAAATTCATAGACGGTAATGTCTAAAGAAGTAGGAGATCAAATAATTTAGTTCAGGGATTATTCTGCAGAGATGTCAATTTTTACAGTACCAAGAAATCAAGCAGTTTTTAAAGTGTGGGCATTTCTCAGATACCCACCAGTGGTCAGCAGATGTTCAGCCTCTCAAAATCTTGTTTGTTTTCTGCTAAAATGTGCGTTCTGAGCCAGTACCTAAAGAGAAATACTAAGGACCAGAGTGGCCTAGTTTGTACTGTCAACATCTTGCTTAAACCATAGGTTGTTGGGGCCATGATCAGTCAAGTGCCCCATGTATTTGTTACTTCCATTCTGGATTAACTTTTGGGGTGGGGGGAACAAGTGGGTGGATGGATGGATGGATGTTCCCAGCATGTTTTGGGAAAGTGATTCAATGGGGAAGTATTGTGCATGCAGGTTGCTTGCTTACCCACAAGAAAGTAATGCAATTTGTTGGAAGAGGGCACAAATATATTGTGTTCTGCTAATAATTTGTGAAAGTAATTAAGTGTTTCATTTTACAGTCACTTTTTCTTTTCTTTTAAACAAACAAACAAAAATCTGTAGCATCAAATGGTAGGGTAGGGAGAGATGTAGCAGAAAGGATTTCTCCAAAATAATGCATCTTGCTGTGCAGTTGTCAAAAATGAGTTATGTTAAGTCCCCCTTTAAAAATCACTTTTCTCTCCTGTCATGTTTAGGCTATGCCCTGATTCCATCTGCCAAATCTGAGAATTTTTCGGACTCCAGCCACAGTGAGATCTCGTCACGGTCCAGCATTGTGAGCAACTGCTCCGCTGACTCCATGTCTGCAGCCCTTCAGGATGAAAGGTGCTTGCCTCAGGCTGTGGTGGTGGTAGATTCAATAGGAACCGTGGAAAGGAAAGAGCACCTTCAGTCATCCTCTGAATATAACCAGCCTTGCCCTGGGTAAGGGATGCTTGGCCAATATCCAAGAGGGTAGCGAGAAGTTTTTTATTCAACTATGTACTGCCTGATGTGTAATCATGTTTATAGGCATCATTGGCCCACTGAAAAGGTTTCAGCACCTGAAAAGTGAGCTAGGCATCCTCTCTGCCCAGGGAACCTCAAGTTCAGTATTTTAAATAGGCTATGGTTTTTCCTGTACCAGTGGGGCTTAAACTGGTATATTAGTAATACACATGCAAGTAAATGCATTAAAGCTACCTGCTTAAGGCTCTTTCCGTTACAAATACACTATCTGTTATGTAACTTAGATGCTGAATGTTCAAAGGTTTTTATCTCTAAAAAGACCTGCTCTTTAAAATGCAGGGTTTTAAATACCTGCTCTTTTTAATTTCTTTAGATAAAAGGAAAAAATGATGAAAATAATACATGAAAAAAAGTACGAAGGGGTCTTACACAAAAATTGCATATAGTGCTAAGTGTGGGAAATTACGCAAATCAATAATTAGTACTTAACTGTTAACAATAATTAGTACTTAACTGTAGATTTAACTGTTATATCTACAGTTAAAATTGTAGATATAACTACAATTTTAACTTAATACTTGGTTATTACAAAAATGCTTTAACACGGGTATCAAGTAAATAATAATTCACCTTATAACATAAGCATAAACCTACCGGAAATTAATGATTGATTTTTCCTTGTTTCCCCAGATAAAACAATATCATAATTAAAAAGTTAAATTCATAAAGCAATTATATTAATTTGATCATTGTATACTTAATACTTGATTGCTTTCTCAATTGCTACATTCTCAATTGCTCTCTAATGCTACATTCCAATATTCATGAACAGTGTGAGCATGGTGGTTTGTGAAAGCCATTTAATGGCTGTGTGAAGCAAGTAGGAAATTTCCTTCCAGCTTATACCTAAGGCATCTTGTTAGAAATCTAGTTGTCTCTTTTCCAAAAGGAGATTGCTGCTGCTAGCAGAAGAGGGCAATGCCAATTGTATATATAAAAAAACTCTCCCAGACCTTAATCTCTTGAAATAAAATAAGTGCACCCAGTTCATGTGGCATTGTAGTTTGGCGTGAACACTGTTGTGTGTAATTGTACATGTCCAGATATGTAATGTTACTGCCTGATTTCCTCTCTTTTATTTGCTTATGCTATCTCTTAACATATTTTCATTTTTTACTCCTTTCTGAGTGATGCATAACTTGTAAGCACAAGTGTGCAAAACTTCCTTTGATTTGTGCAAAACTTTTACTATAGTTTACAAAGCCTTCTCTGCACTCTGCAAATTTTACTCATCCTACATCTTATTGATTAAAGTTATTTCTCTTGCCACCACTTTTAGCTGATTCTTCCTGGTTCAGAAGTGTTTTGAATGTTCATTTGTCCAAGTTTTTTTTTTAATAGCTGGAGGCCAAGGTACACTTGATGCTATGGCTGAGTTCACGTAACACAGTTAACCTACACTCAAAAATGGAATATGGGTTGAGTGTGGGTTGTCATTGAATTGTAGGTTGTTGTTGAAATGTGGGTTATCATGTTGTCTGAACTCGGTTAAGATCACAATACAGGCTGAAGAGCTCACAGTTCACAACCCAACAACAAACCATGGGTTGCCTTCATGGGTTGGTCATGGTTAACCATGGCTTGTTAGCACAGCTGCATTCAGACAATATGATGAGCCACATTTCAACAACAATCCATTCCCAACCCTTACTTGACCTTTTTGTTACCATGTTGTCTGAATCCAATATATGTATCATTATTAACCAGTCCCTTAATTTAGGAGGCATGGGGTAATTTTCATTATGACTACAGCTTGTGAAGGAAGGTGTTCAGTAACCTTTTCCTCCCCTCCTACAGTTCCAACAAAAATTGCCTGCAGCTATTAACAAATTAAAATATGGATGTTGTTCCTAACAGTGTGCTTAATGTTTAATGTCATGTGTAATTTGGTCCTGTGGCATGAAAGAAATAGAAATACAGAGATTGGAGATGTTGAAGCTGATATTGAGATTACCATTATTTGAAAGGAAATACAGTTTTCATGGATAAGCATGTAATGTCATGATTTTCACAGGTGGAAATTCTGAGAGAGGAGAGCAAAAAAAAAAAAAATACAGAAACCAACATTTGCAGCATTGATGAGAGAACCTGGAATGACTTGGCTATCAGGAAAACACTATCCAGTGAATAACAAACATAGTAGTAGATGTAGGAGGAAATCATAGATTTCAGTGTAAATCCAACCCACACAAGCAGTGGTAAAGACAGATGTTGCACCCACAATTTTATTTATGCTAGACTATAAATTTATGTCAGATTTTTTAAAAGCATGTTCAGAATTCTACAAAATGCTGCATTTGTTCAGGTGCAAGATGCTTGAAAAGACAGGTGAACATTTGAGAGACTGGACTTTAATATTAGATGATGTCAACACATGTTTTTTGCATGCTCTGTGCTGTTGCCTTTGTTTTATCCTAATTTTTGTTGTCTTTGACTTCAGTTGGCCGCTGCCTAGACCTCCAGTGATCCGAGGGCTGCCTGTTCCATCTTCCTTGAGCACGGAGGAGATTTCCCATGAGCACATCACAATAGAAGCAGCAGACAGTGGTCGTGGAAGCTGGACCTCTTGCTCAAGCAGTTCCCATGATAACTTCCAAAATATCCAGAACCAGAAGGGTTGGGACCTCTTAAACTCTTACCGCCACACTCATTTAGAAAGAGCCATTGCTGAAGTGGAACCGCCCAACTGTTGTCCTGAGGAAACTCATTTGCATCCCCACCCTCACTCAAATAATAGGCAGTCCAAATCTGGCATGGACTTTGACCAGTCCCGACAAAGCTGGGCCTCGTCGAGTTCATTGTCGGACACACATGAATCAAATTATGGGACGATAAAACGGAGAGGACTTGACGGCTTAACGGCAGAGCAAGCTGAGGTTTTGGACTCCAAAGCAGGCAGTGATACAAATTACAAAACTGTCACTTCGAGTACGGAGCGAGGCCTCATAGGTAAGCCAAATCCAAAGCCCAAGGAAGCTTCCACAGCTGTTATATATTATGTTATTAAGCTGCTAAAAATGACATCAGCAGATCTGGGGGCTGGCTTGAACTTTAAAAATACGACTCATACACATGTTTTCAATAAAAGAAAGCCTCCGATGAAGTGTTTCCAGACCTCCTTGAGAGAAGGAGTGGGATTTTAAGTAACAGAAGAGCATGCTTTTTATTGCCTTGCAGGGAGGGGAGCAAGCTTATGAAGCAAGCCAAGGAAATCTCCTTGTGAACCTTGCCTTAACTTTCTATGACAGATTTCTTACCATTCTTCCTCTGACAATCTGAGCTCTTATTTCATGGGCACTCACATATATTATGCTAGCTATCACCAAGCTGGGGCAGAAGATAATGTCTAGAGAATGAATCCAGGCTCTAAGATTTTCTCCAGCCATTTGGCATTACCTGTGCATCCCTTCCACTTGTCTCCAAGGCAGCAAGGGAAGAGTCTGTAGGTGGCATCTTGTGTCGTTAGCAGATTATCCAGATTCTGAGATTCTTAGGAAGGATCCTGGTCCAGGAAGAGGGACAGTTCACATCCCAGAACATACTAAGTACCTGTTTGAAATTGGGTAGATGTGACAACATGTCAGTTTCATTGTACACAAATTGTTCTTTGCTTTCAGTTGAGAGAAAACTTATATTGTAAAAATTCTTTTATTGAAGAAAATATTACTGTTGAATAGGATGGCTGTTAAAAATTACACACTGCCTAGATCTTCCCAAGTAGCCATAGCTGAAGGATACCATTTATTTATTGTTTTCCCACAAGTATAGGACATTCTAAACTCAAGTCAAATTCTTCGTGTAAATAAACTGGGCATTTAAATACAATAGCCCTCGTCCAACAACATACTGTGGGCTAATGCACACACCATGCTCCCTTTCATGTTGGAAAGGCTGGAAAGGTTTGACTCCAAGGTGTACCTCATGTACTCTTCCTGAAATGGTCATAGGGAATGGGTTGTTTCCAGCACTGGAGAAAAGGAGATGGGGATGAATTTTCCTTGATGCCTTTGCCCTCTTGCTTACCCTTTCTGATGAATGATGCTTTTTGCTCCTCTAAACTACCCTTGCTTCTGTACTTCTTTCACTTCTTCACCTCATCCTTAGCTGAACTACAAGTCTGTTTATATTTCACAACTGCACTTTAGGCATTCTGTGAGAGATTATCATTTCTTCTTTTTCTTGACCACAGTAGCTTGCTGCATTCTAAGCTGCCCATTCACCCAGTTCCTTTCTTGTACTGGTAGCACCAGTTTCTTAATGATATCCTGGGATGTACATGCAGTATAGGGAGAGGGAGAAAGAGAGTTCATTGTTTGCCTGGCAGGATTTTTTTGGCAGGGGTGAACTGTAGCTATTGTTTTAAATTACTTGGAGGACCTGCAGGGAAAATGACTGTGGTGAGCTTGGGTGGGTGGAAGGATAAAGTAGTGCTTTTGGTCCTTTGTGTAGTGCTAACTTTGTGTAGTGGTAGCTATTCATGTTCTTTGGGATGAGGCAGGGGACAGCCAGGCTTGGATCCCAGATGCTTCCATGAACAAAGGGATCCCTTCATTCACAGGAAGGATGATGATGCAGTGAAAGCACCTGCTGGCAGAAGAGGAAAGGGAGACAGTTTTTGCTGATTTCTATACTCCCTGGTCCCTGCAGCACCAAATGGCAGCGCCCATGCTGCTCCTGCTAGTTCCCCAACCTTCTAGAGCAGATTTTTGAAGGGCAGCAGGGGGAAAGGTGAAAGTTGCCTCTGTCTCCCTTCCCCACCCCCTTTTCTGCCAGTGGTGGAAGTTCTGGCTATAGAAAGTTAGGATCCGAGTACCTTAACCCTGCTGTATTTTCTTTAAAGCAGATTTGAGTGTAGGAACCATTAGATGCGTACGTCTTGCAGTTCTTAAAATCAAAGTTGACAGGTGAGGCCTGCAAGAAAGTGTTGCCCCTTGGAGTGCATGCTTCTGTTCAAAGCGCCTGCCAGCTCCCTGTGCCTTCTTTCAGAACACTTCTCTTGATTCGCCGTGCCATCCAAGATTACATTCCCCCCACAACCACCAGTCAGTCAGTATTCCAGTCTGGTTTTCAGTCTACAGAGCAGTAGGCATTTTTTTAAAATACTTAAATGCTTTTATGCATCATTAAAGCCAAGAAATGCCTCCTATTTCTGTGCAGATAGGGCTGTTGTTCTATATAAGGATTGACACTCATCTCTGAATTCTGGAAATGGAAGAAATGGTGGTATCTGTGAAAAGAGTGTGTTTTAGTGTGTGTCAGAAGAAGAGAAAGAAACCAAATAGTACAAAAGAGGCGTAGTTCAAAATTCACTAATGACCCAGTTTGCTTGTTGTCAACAATCCATGGCTTGTTAACAGTGGGTTGTTAAAATACACAAGGATAAAACATGTTGGTTCCTGCCTGCCTATCCCTGCTATCCTAAACAACCTGGAGATGCCCTGTCCCTAGGATGTTTAGCTCTGCCTGTTGTATTTTCAGCATTGCAGGTTGTTAGCTGTGGGATCTTGACAAATGGGTCATTATGACACCCCCTTGTCCTGTGCTTGCAGCTAGCCTGTTTCTCCTTTCTATCCTCTCCCAACTCTACAGTCTAAATTCTCATTGCTTGAGTACCAGGGGCAAGAGGCATGCTAAAGTTAAAAGTGAAAGAAAAGCAAATGATATAAATCCAATAATAAACAGTTTTAGGAAAAGGGTTTGCCAAAAGGCGCAATATAAATGAAAGCTTAATCCATAAACATTTTTCTGTGAGCTATTCTTTGTCATCAGGTGGTAACTGCGTCTCTTCAGAGAATAACCTGCCCTTCATTTTCTGACCAGCTTTCAGGCAAAAACAATGCTGCTGATTGTTGTTACTATTGAGCAGACTTGAGCAAGCACACATTTGCAACTGTCCAATATGTGTAGTTTTTCTTGTCAATTTCAGTTGTCAAGGTGAGGGAAGTTCAGTAGATAATGCACATGGAAATTGACAAGACAATACTACATATTATACATTACTTCACACTTGCAAGGTACCTGAGGAAAAATAATAGGGAAAATAAAAACTGGGAGCAGGTGAATGGGAGAAGTAGGTAGACCAGAAAGTGTGTGGGGATAATGTCTCTCACTTAGCAAGGCAATATTTTAACTTTTAAAAGTTGAATTAGCCTTGTCCTACTCCCATTCATTACTTCCCAAACTATTCAGTCCGGAAAAGTTGCCACTGGTTCATCACGGTCTCTTTGAGCAGCTTCCTTTCACAGCAGTTACTGCTGCAAGTAGCAGTTTTTCCTTAAACATTTAGAAACATTTGTAAAATTTGAAGACAGGAAGTAAATGGAGAGAAAATTGTGCATATTTAGAAGCCTGGCAGTAAAATGAGAATTTGGTGCACCTTAAGTAATAGCTGCATGTCCTAAACAGATCCCTGAGCATGTAAGGTGGACTCCCTCTATATGTGATTAGGATAATGAATGTGCATTCCAATGTTAACACCATTTGTGTGTCTTAGATTAACTTGGATACTCTTGGAATAAGAAAAATCTCAGTGGAAGGTGAGAATCAGGCAGTCTTAAGAAGACTGATAGACAAATATCATAACCTAAGTTTTGCAAACTATAAACTCAGGAAATTCTTGTGAAGACAAATTATGATGTTTTATTTTAATTGGTTGGTTTGCAAGCATTGAGAAATAGGCAATAAGTAAAAATGTATCTGAAAGATTGTATTAAACATCCAGGTGTGAAAATATAAAAGCTTTCAAAAACTGTCTGTCAAATATGTCCAAGCATTTGAATGACATGGGAAGAAGAAGTTTAATTTACCCATTTGGGAAAGACAAAGTAGGATCACTTTGGGTCATAATCACTCAGTTCACACATCACAACTACCGATATGTTTTCTAAAGCATAGGTAGTCAAAAACAAATGTGAGTGAACGTGTTGCTCCTTGTTCCCTTCTTGCTCCTGGTCATAGTACTCCTGAACTGTGTAATCAGAGTTACTGGGGAGAGGAAACCGCAGAATTGTAAATCAGTGATTTGTACTGGTGTTGCACCTCTGGATTGCTTCTCCCAGAATAACCTACACATCTGGGTTTGGACATCATAGTAAACAACACAGTGAGAGCAAGAGCCACTGCTACCCTCACCAAATCTTTTGAATTTTGCTTTATCTTTTTTTTTTCCTTTTCTGTTTCTCTTTTCCAAACAGTGCTTCTTCCTCCCATGTCAAGTATAGTTTGGTATTCTTCCTTGAGTTTTTCACTTTCAGAGGCCAAAATAGAATGTGAAATAGGAAGTACAGAATTATAAAGTTTGCTATTGCTCTCTGCCCATTTGCAAGCTGTTCAGATCAAAGGACTTTCTAAACACTGCTTCAGCAACTTGAATCTAGTAATCCTGCTGCTGCTTTATGACTTTTCAAGTGGTTAACGTTCAAAATCCTGCCAATAGCGTTTTATAACAAGTGATTCTACATTTACCTTTTGTTACCAGTTTTCAGTTTAGCCATTGTAACATTTCACTGTTTTTTTAAATGCTTTTTGTTTTTCATTTGTTTCCCTCATTAACATTTCCATTGCTTATTTCTTGTGCCAGTGTACTGTGTCACCTCACCTAAGGAAGACAATAGGTATAGGGAGCCACCGCCCACCCCACCAGGATATATGGGGATTTCATTAGCGGACATAAAGGAAGGATCACCTCACCACCCACACCTAAAACCTCCCGACTATAGTGTGGCGGTGCAGAGGTCCAAGATGCTGCATAGCAAGCTCTCTAGGCTCTCCTCCACTCCTCTGAGTAGCGAAGCTGTGGCCTGTTTTCCAGCGAAGATGCCTCAGTGGCATAGCCGACAGCCGTCCCATCCTAAGCTAGCAGATATGACTGACGCAAATAGTGAAGAGGATGGTATGTGAAAGATCTTCTTTGCTAGCTGTTTAGTATGTTGGTGTGTGATTATAAGTGTGCAAAATGTCCAAATCGTCTTACCTCTCAGAAGTCACCTTGATGTGCATCAGTTATTTTTTTTCCTTTGAAGTCATTTAAAAACTTTATTAATCACTTTTTTCACCATCCTACCTGTCCAACAAATGTATCGCAGTGCTGATGGTTAACCCACATACTTACAAGTAATGCAAATATAAAGCAGGTGCACAGAGCGGGTTAGAGAACCTGTCCCCCAACAGCTTAACCTCCCACTCAAATAATCAGAAATGCTTCTATGTGGCAGAAATGATTTCAGAATGTCAGCATGAATCTACCTATGCTTAACCTGCTTGTATGCATTGAAGCAGGAGTGAACATGCCCAATTATAGGAGTTGTAGTCTGAAACACCTGAAAGGTACCTGGTTTCCAATCTCGGCACCAGAGGTTAATTTAACTAGGGTGGAATGCATGAGCCTATGTAAACATTTGCCCTGCGGCAAACTAGCCATGTTGAGTTCTGTCATGTATTAAGCTCAGCATTTCCTTGCTCGTTCTTCAGCGGGAGCACAATAAAGCCTGGCACACCAGAGTCGAAAGATTACTGCTTCTCCATGCAGTTAGAGCTGCAGCAGGTTGCAGGTTTTAATACTGGCTGGCCAGACAAGTAATGTTCCTTAGTTTCCACCTTTAAGATTTTAGACTAAAAACAGAGGAGGTTTTAAATTCAGCTTCAGTTATTTACAGGCCAGTGCTGCAGACCTCATGAAGTTGCTTAGTGGACAAAATCAGGCCAAGAGGGACCTGCTAATTGAACCTCCCTGGCACTTTACACTTGACCCCTGTTGTGAACCCTCAGCCACCATCTTTAAGTGGGCTGGAGTAATAAAATGACAGATCTAAGAGCGAACATGGAAAATGTTTTCCTTTTCTTCCTTACTTCCCGTTTATCTAATGAAAATAGGCAACTTTGATTTTGTTCTTCATTCCATTTGTATTTCACCTTCTGTTGCTCACCACTGTGGGTGGTTTGTTCTGGCACAGTTTTTCTCATTTTCAGTTGAATGCATGTCTGCCACTCTCAGATTGTATTTTTAGTAAATTGGGATTTTAGCATCTGACATGTTTCCATGACTTAGAAATCTTTCTACCATCTTGTTTGAAGAAGCTTGTAATTGGGCTGTGCTTAAAATGTCATTTTCAAAAAAGGGGGCTTGGGTAGTTTTGTGTGTGTGTGCGTGTGCACGCGCATAACTGTGTGTGATCATGTTTCTGAACTTGCATAAACATTAATTGAAGTATGCATGTTTCTGTGACATTTCTAACAATCATGTTTAATGAGGCCCTATTGCTTCTACCTTATAGAAAATTAGCCTCGCTAATTTTACAAAGTTCCCAAAATAAGACATTATATTTTAGTCATTGGCCTTTAATGCAAAATTATTCAAAAATATTTCTGTTTTATTTTTATCCTGTCTTTCTTACAGAGTTTGGGTAGCATATATAGTTGTCTTCTATCCACATATAGAGGTATATTATGCTGACAAACAGAGACTAAAGTTATTCAATTGGTCACACATAATGACTGGGTTCAGATAAGAGGATATTCCTCACTGGAGTTGAGGATGGTTTGGTTGTGGGTTGTTGTTGAACCATGGCTTGAATGTGGATTATCTCATTGTCTGAACCCAGCTGAGATAACTAACCATGGTAAAGCCCAACAAGAAACCTGGAGTTTTCTTCATGGGTTTTTGTGTTCAGGGAGCAGGGCTTGTTAGCATGACTAGACTCAAGCAACACAATAACCCTCACTTTAACCCTTGAGTATGGTCTTTTGTGTTACTTGCACTCAGTCAGGGAGAACCCATGGATTTATTTTTTGGAATGAGTGAGTACCTGGCTGTCTTCTTACTGTTTCTGCTTTGCATCTGCTTTCCAAAATGACACAGGCTTCCTGAGTTCTTCACCATGAAATGTGGACCTGGAACTTGGGCTTGTTGAGTAGGAAACAAATCCCAAATTTAACTCATTGTTTGTTGTTGGGTGAAACAACAGGGATGGATTATTTTGTGTTGTTTTGGAAAATGGATGCAAAGCGGCAATCATACTGGAGGCAGCGTGCTCACTTGTTCTTGCCACCAACTAATTTAAGGCTTAGCCTATAGTTGGTTGATCTAAGTCTCGGGAGAATCTTAGTGGACTACCTGCTTGCAAAGTCATTTGGAGTCCAAACAAATACCAGGCACAACCATGGCATAGGCATGTTTGGTGAAATTTGTAAACTTTTTTCCCCAAACCCATTTTTACCCATTGTGAAATCAAATTTCACCAGAAGTCCCCATGCTGGCCTTGTGGAGAAGTAGGAATATAAGCCAAGTCCCTGGTTCTTTGTAACCTTGCCCATACTAAAAGGCCAAGATTTCTTTTAAATATTTTAAATGTATATTTTAATAGAACATTTGCAGTATAATTAATCATTAGAAGTCATTCGTAAAACCAAAGAGATGGTTAAAAGAAAAATTACTAAAACCCAGATTAGAAATTTGACAAGGAGAGTTGCTGGCAGAAGACAGCTGGGTGAGGAAGGACACATCCACCTGCCTGGCATGCACACCTTACTAAATTAATTCTGATTTCTGATCACTTCATGCCAAGGAATATGGGATTTTTCTGAAGCCAGAAACTGTTTTTACAGTTTTCACTGCTGTTATGATCAAATGCATCATGGACAGAAGTAAAGAGAAATTCTGAATCTTTTGAAAGTGCTGACCTCTCATTGATCTGATTCAGGAAAACACTGTTGGGAAGTGATATGCAGCATCTTTCATAGACCGGGGTGGGAACATGGGATGGTGAAGACACGGGACGGTTATTGCAGCGTAGATGGTTGATGGTGTTTTTCTTGTTTCACAGAAGATGAACAAGTATCAGCAGTCTAGCCTTCGTGCTTCCTGTGAAAATTGCCTCAGTAACATCAAGAGGAGCAACCGTACAATGCTGTTGGTTGTGACTGACAGCCTGCTGCTATTGACTTCGAAATGTTTGGATTTGCCTCTCTTCTGAACAATGTAATGAATCTCTCTGGATCATAATTCTGAACTCATGTGAATTCCCTGAGATCAATCCCACACCGTAAGGAAATATTTATATCTAAGACAGACAATTCTAAGGAATTCTGACCCTGGAGTTTGGTGACCAGTATTCGGAAGGACTTACCCTTTCATACATTGGGACCACCTCGGAAGCATTCCTCTATAGAAAATCTATAGAATCTTTTAGTACACTTCAGTCAAATCTTTTCTATATGGCTGTTATGACTCCCAGTTGAAGAATGTCATGATCTGTACTTAACAGAAACTGCAAAACTTTGGCAAAACTGTGGAAATGTCTGCGGCAGTCTGAAGAGTAATTTATTAATTTGGAGTTTATATAAGGGTTTTCTTTTTCTTTTGTTTTTGTTTTCTTTGTTGTATATGTATTGGAATGCTCTGGTTGGCTAATATGATTGCTTTTTAAAAGAAAATAAGATGACAGATTTATTTAGGTGTTAGTGAAATGTCGTATGCTAAGCAAAACACTTTGGACTTCTGAGGAACTGGATGTTCATGAGTGCAGCTAGAGGTTTACACACAATGCAACATTAAACCTCTTGTAAAATGCCAAGCCCCTGGGATGTATATTAAGTGTGCTTTAATGTGCATCCAGTAGTGGAATACTGCCATCTGTTGGTCCTGTATTTTAAAATCAGTGAAGTACATGTGACTGTCCTTTCAACTTTCAAATGACTTGAGGACTGTACACACAGTTCTTTTTGCTTTTGTTTTCCTGCCCTCCAGTCTAAGTGAATCATTATGTCTGTTGTATTTAAGGCATTGTCTACTGGGAGCCTCTCAGGTGCAAGGTCCAAAGTTTTAAAAAAAGGAAGAAGCACAAGGAGATTGTTGTTGCATGTGAACCATTCCCCAAATTTTTGAGCTGCATCCTGTTCAGCAAGTCTTTCATTGGAGAAGTTCCTTCTTTTGGCACTAGCCTGAAGTGTGCAGAACTTAAGAGTAGGATCACAGAAAACAGAACCAATGCTAAATTTCAGTTCTTTACCAATAGGATATCAGTAGAACTATTCCAAGCTGCAGAGAATGAATTGACTCAAATCCTAACAAGAATATGCCAGCAAATATGGAAAACCAAACAGTGGCCCACAGACTGAAACATTCAATACCCATTCCAATCCCCAAGAACGGAGATGCAAAAGAAATCAACAAACGTAGGACAATATGAAATAGAAACACTAATTTCCCAGACAAGCAAAGTAATGTTCATAGCGTTGCAACAAGGAACATTGCCATATATGGAGCAAGAAATGCCTGCTGTTCAACCTGGATTTTGAAAAGGAAGAGATACTAGGGATCATACCACAAATATTTGTTGGTTACTAGAGCACACCAGATAATTTCAAAAGATCAGTCTGTGCTTTATAGACTACAACAAAGCCTTTGATCGTGTGATTCACAAGAAATTATAGATGATTCTGGAAGAAATGGGGTGCCCCACACTTGATCATCCTGATGCATAACCTGTATTGTGGAGAAGAAGCTATTGGGAGACAGAATATAGAGAAACGGAATGGTTTCTCATATGAAAGGTGTCAGACAAAGGTGTATTTGATCGCCTTATCTTTTTAATCTGTATCCAGAACATATCATCAGAAAAACTGGATTAGGATCAGGGGAAGGGGTGCAAATTGATAGAAGAAACACCACTAACTTAAGATACTACTGGCAGAAACAGCCATGACTGGAAACACCCTGTAAGGAATGAAGTGAAAGAAGAAAGGGTACAAGGAGGACTGCAGCTGAATATTCAGGAAAAATAAAATTACCACAGAAGAATTACAGAACTTTCCTGTTGATGTGGTAGAAATGGAAATTGTGAAAGATTTTATATAGCTCAGTCATCAACTCAAATGGAGATTTGTAGCCAGAAAATTTGAAGAAGACAGACTTAGGACAGCAATGAAGGAACCAGAAAAGATTCAGAGGCAGGATGCTGCACTGGAGACCATAGTCAAGATTCTCCACACTTTTGTATTCCTCACATCCAATATGGATGTGAAGAGCGAACAGTGAAGAAATCTTACAGGAAGAACATTTCCTTTTAAACAGGGTGTTGGAGGAGAGTGTTGACAATACTCTGGACCAACAGAAAGACAAACAAGTGGGTCTTAGATCAAATCAAGTCAGAGCTTTCCCTAGAAGCAAAAATGACAAAATTGAAACTCTCATACTTTGGGCACATCAGGAGAAGGCAGTTGTCTCTGGAGAAGACAATCCTTCCAGGGAATGTTGAAAGCAGAAGAAAAGGAAGATCAAATATGAGATCAGTTGACTTCATTAAGGAAGCCACTACTTGAATTTACAAGAGCAGGACAAGGCTGTCATGGATAGGAAATTTTGGAGAGCTTTCATACACAGGGTTGCCATAGGTCAGAGATGACTTGACGGCACATAACAACAAACTTAATAGTAATAGTGGTAATATCGTGTATAGTATAGAAGGCATGTTTGGTGGGAAATGTTTCCTTCCATTCCAGAAGTGGAAGCTGTTTGCAGTAACATGCTGTGCCCCTGATCAGACACACTTCCTGTTTTTATGAAGTCATATGATCCAGGATGAAACCCTGTATTTGGAAATGTGTATAAGGTTGAGACCTGCTAAGGTATGGCTCCAGTTAAACTTTGTACTTCTCAGACCTCTCTGTAGCTACAACGTCATGAAATGAAATATGAAAAGGCAAAGATACTTAGTTTTCAGGAATCAGAGGTTATCACTGAGTTTATGCCCACAGATAGCTTGGAGTATTTGCACACCAGACTGCTGTATCTTCCTGTTCTTCCAACCAGAACTAAAGTTGGTACAATCAGCTCCTAGGTCATCCAAGATTTTCTGCTAAACATATAAAATGGTTTAGGGCTTTTACATATCACATACCCTGCCCTTAGTGAGCCTGTAAAAAGAATCATATAATTGAGTGCCATCCATAAGAACTGGCATATACCACTTATTCATTCCCCCATAGGGCAGCATAAAATGAGAGACAGATGGGAGTTGTGCTTGCAGTTCCTCTGGGCTTTGGATGTCTATTGAAGCAGCAACAGTTCTTACCACTCTCGGGTGCTCCAAAACCTTAGCATGACTGGAAGATCAAACTCTCTCCCTTGTCCCAAGCGTGTGTCCTGGGCTTCAGTGATGCTGGAAACAGTGGTCTTGGAGCACCTCTGAATGAAAACCAGTGCAGCTGAGGCCTAACAGCCTTTCCTTCTATTGATCTTATCATTACCATTGTTTGGAGCTTTTCTCGTGTCTTGTGCATCTTCAGAAACAAGACCTTGCCCTGATCCACAGTTGAGAAGGTTACTAGGATAGTATTTCCAAAAATTGCAGACCCTGGCTCATATGTATAGTACACACACTCTATGCAAAGGTAAAGGACAGAGCAAAGTTTTTGTTTATAATTAGGCTAAGTTGATATTATAGCTTTACTTAGCCAACCAGAGTACATGGAAAAAAACTGGAGTTATCTGCATTTATTTTCTTCCTCTAGCACATGATGATGGCCAACCAAACATTAGAAATAGACATGAATGTGTCAATGTATATTTCAAGTTTACTTGTAAATATTACTATCATAAAATGTTTACAATTGAAGCTAGAAGGATGATGTTTATCAGTTTTAAAGGTGCCTCAGAGTAACTTATTTTGTACACTTCAAGTTATAAAGAGCTTTCAGATTTTCTTTTGTGTGTGAGGCAAATGCAGCAAATTCTGGAAAAATCCAAACACAGGTACCAAATATTAAATTTAACAGTTTAAACTGTCTGTATGCATCACCTGTTTTGATTTAGGACAGTGCTAATTAACCAGAGGGTATGTTTAAAGAAATGTGTTGTGTTCTGAAATTTGTGAGCCTGTTCGAGTACTCCTTCAATGCCTTGTAACACGAAATTACAAACCAGAAAATAGAAGGAAGTGGAGAAGCTAACTAATTCATCATTTAATTGGCTGACTACATGTTAGCACGCTAGCCTTAAGAATCTGCTTAGCTGAGACATCAGTCCGCTCTCCATTTTTCCCTTTCAAGGCCTTAATGAAAACAATCAACAATGAAATAGTATTACAATCTGACTCAAGTTGGCACCCATGATTGTGTTAACTTGGCAAAACCCAAGCTCAGATTTCCTGCAGAATTGCATTAGTGGTCCATCGATGTAGGATGCATTCCCAGTCAATTGTGCCCATAGGCTGCAGTCGTAGATTGCCATAGCAGGAGCAGGGAAGAAGTGTACACTCAGCCAGATAGGTTGTTAAAGTTCATCCTTTGCTTGACACCCAGCAGAACGGGCGAACTGCCAGTGTTGAACTTGCTCATTCCGCCGGCTGACGAACTCAGTGCCTTTAGCTGTTGGTGCACTCCTGACCAGATGTGCCGGGACTGTCTCGGAATGGGGCTACACTTGCCAAAAACAAGCTTGTACACCTCCACGCCTTAGCTCCCAGCAGGCCTAGTTCACGTGTGTATCCAGTGATGTGTATGTGCTAGCTTCATGTAGCCACAAGCATGAGAGAAAACAGGGTGCTTGGAACCAATAGGAGAATCTCTCAGTAACGTCAGATACTTATTTCAGCTTATAGGAACGAAACGGAAGGAGTTTAGGACTGCTTGAGGGTGACCCTTTGATGTTGCATAAGCCTGATGCTCTGCACATAGACACAATTGTATGTCCAGGTCTAACTCACCTCGCCTGAAGTCCATTGAGCCAGCTATTTCACATCTGCGACCTTCTTGAATTTGGTGTTTTCCTGTCCACAGCAACAGTAATATTCAGTGTTCAAGTACACTGGTTTTAAGACCAATGCCTATCTTGTTAATCATGTTTTCATAATATAAAGCCCATATAGTATAGATATGCTCTGGAGTAAGTATTCTCTGCTTCCTATTTGCACAGTGTGAATTGCCTCATCTGTCTTTGTTCTTCATTTGGTTTTTGCTCCTCCCACCCTTTAATTGGCTGATCACATTGATCAGGTCCACTAGCAAAATGAAATGAAGGTTGGGTCGGGTACAAAGAGACAAAACCACTTTTCTTTTAACCAGTCCACATTAAAAGTCTGCTTAATCCTATTCTATGCTGTTTGCATAAACTTTACTCGTAATGTAGTTGAGCATGTTACTAGCATGTTCCATGCTTTTGCCCCACGTTATATAATTTCACCAATCCTAACTTGAATTGTGTTTCAAATGGCCATGTCCTCTCTGTACATATCGTTTCTGCTTTGTTCAATATAGTGTGAGGAAATGGTCTCCAGCTAAATAGGCTGTATCTGTAAAGCGACTAGGAATATTTGGAAATCTCAAACATACAGCCAGTGTCAGGTTTTGCTTCCATATAGTTACATAAATTGAGTGGCTAGAGGGGATTCTCTCTCTCAGTACAGTAGTCATGACCTGTCTGTCCTTTAAGTTTGCCAGCTGAGGCCTACTGAATGATGTTGGGTTTATAATGTTGGTGGATCATGTTGTGAAAATATGCATAATATTGGGTAGAAAAAATTGAGTTGGACTGAAGTTTTCCAAATTAGTAATTTGAAAGTGCACATCTGTTATATGCGCTTCTCTTGCCCTAACAGATATGGTAGCCTGTGGTAAACAAAGATGTTAGCTTTTCACCTGAAGACTAGGTTTAGGGTCAACTTTTTCCTGCTAAGGTTGGAGGATTTTGCACGGACATTAGTAGATCTGGTTTTTATTTAGGCCTTTGAAAGAACTTCCTAGAATAAGATCCCTGCTGTAGAGCTAGGCAATTCTTCAGAATGAGGGATAGAGTATCCTACAAGAATGAATTTTCTCTAATAGATTTTTTGAGGAGGAATAACCAGAAGAAAAGAAAGCTAGTCTGTCCAATATGTCATTCAGATAATTTATTTATAGGCAACAGCACAGCTATCGGTCTCCATAATACACATTTCCTTAAACATAATTTAAAACTAATACGAATTCTCATGGCCTTCAAAAACTGATCAGGAAGAAGGGGGTAGCCTCTCTTTGACAGAAGGCACGGTCCATTGTGGTTGACAGTAACTCTCCAGACTTGGAGAATTGTGGGCATCTAGTGGACAGCAGAAGGAATATGGCAGGTATGATTGCTTCCATGCACACCTTGCCCTCCACAAAATTCTTCTTTCTTCCTTGCCTCACAAGAATGATTGGCTGAGGCACCACAAAACCCTTTAGAGGATGGCGGTGAGCCGCATCTTCACGCCCTGCCTCCCCGGTGCCCTCCCATGCCAGCCTGGTGGAAAACCATGCCAGCTGGGAGGGCTAAGGGGGAATCCTCCGAGGACTGTTTTTCCAAGGTCAGAACTGGGGCTCTGACCTCTCTTGTGGTCCCACCAAACGATGTTGGGAGGCCATGGGGTTGTGCCATAAATCCTTTAACGCTAACTATTCAAAAATGGAGTGGAAAACAAGTTTGATCCTTACTCCGCTTCCCAGCTCCCCTGCTTTGGTTGTGCTTGCCATCAACTTGTCTTTAATTTCTTTATATATACATGGGATGCAGTTTAGCTTGGTATTAATGACATTTTACATATGTGAGCATATGGGCAAAAACTGCACAGTTGTAATGGTATTCCGATAGCAATTGTCAAACTGCACAAGTTAGTGATTGTAAAGTATTCTGTAACAAGCAATGTTTGTCTTCTATTTTTTGATACCTCTTACACTTATGTCTTTTAGAAAGACAGTGCCTCTGTATGCTTTTTTGTATTTTTACTGAGTGATTGTAAATATTTGTTATATTTTTGGTTAAGAGAATGTTTAAAAGTACTGTTTAATATCCAATCTACTAATGTTGTTGGAACCAATAAACAACTTAACATGGCTTACTGTGAATGGTATCTTTTAACCCAGTTATTCTCCTCCCCAAAGCATGTCTGGATCCCATACACCTTTAGGCTGCTATCCTAGACCCACAGAAAATCAGTGGGGGTTATTTGGAAGTGCAGATAGGTTGGACTCGTACTGCTGGATGAGAGATGAGGCTCTCACCCTGATCAGTACTGCTTTTGTAAATTTATAGTTTTATTTTCTTGATGGAGTGCTGTCCTGAATTGATGATGAATAGCACAAAAGTGTTTCTCTAGAGAAGAAGGGCAATTTAAGACAACAGGTGGCCACACTTCATAACAGGAAGACGAACAAGGAAGCTTTGAACAGGCCACCCTCAAATGGTGCTTTGGCTGCTTCAGAAGACCCACCGTCTTCTTGGAAGTAACTGCTGCACGTCTGCTTGGAAGTAGTTCTCTCGGTTTGATAGGAATTTTTTTTCTGCTAAGTGGATATACAGTTGCAACCTGAAACGCCAGAATGGTGAATAACTTGGTTGGTCTCACTGTATTCTGTGTTGCTATTTAAATTAACAGTTTAGCAGAGTGGTGGGGGATATGTCGCTAGGCATCTCAGACAGGGATGCTCACTCCCTCTTGATAAGTTGCAAACCAAACCCCTTTGCCTGCAGAAACCTGAGTTCAAATCCCAGCCTGCTTATGCAGCACACTGGGTGACCTTGCACTGATTATTATCCCAGTCCTTCCCATCTCCTAGGCGTTTTGTGAGGATAAAATGGGTGGGGTGAGAACATTCCCCCTGAACTCCTTGCAGAAGGGCAGGATATAAAAGCCGAACTAGTTACCTTGTCAATCACCTTTTGTGTTCCTCTAACATTCCCTTGTCCTCTAAACATTTTGGATTTCAATTCCCATCAGCTGTCGTCAGCAAGGCCAGCCATCATTAATCTGGAGGGCACCAGGTTGGGGAAGTCTGACTTAATGCTTTAGATCGTTGCAATTTTCTTATTGCACATTTCTCTGTATCTTTCTGGATCTAGGAGTAATGGGCCCACTTGACCAGTGTGGAAAACAGCTGACTGTCCAGCCCACTCTGAAATGTAATTGGAAGCTTTCCCTTCGGGGTTACAGTATGCCTGCCAGATTTTTCTTATGTTGCGTGTCACTTTCAACTTAGTTATGCCTTGCAAAGTTAGGGAGAGCAATATTCTCTGCCTATTTCCTCAGAAGTAGGTCCCACTGTGTTCAGAGCTTGTTCCCAGGTATGTATGCAGACTTAACCAAGCTTTAGAGAAGCATGCTTTAATTATATAGACTGTATCCTCTCCAACTACTAGATAAAACTACCCCATGTGGTTTCAGTTGACCTTAAAACAAAAATTGAGTTGTTGCTATGTGCCTTCAAGTTACCATCATCCTTTGAAAGCCCGCCAAAATGTCCGGTTCACGACAGCTCCATTAGCTCTACCAAGTTCAAGGCTGTGGCTTCCTTTATGGAGTCAATCCACCTCTCATTTGGTCTGCAGTTTCTAAAATAATGTCCAGCTTCATTAATATAAAGACTTAGGGTATATGAGCCATGTTGGATCATGTTGAAGGCCTTTAGTCCAGAGCTGGGGTCACATGATGTCAACCAGATGCACATGGGAAATCCAGAATCCTGTCCCTCAGCAATTGGTGCATAGAGGCATGTGGCCTTTCCTATTGGATAGCCCAGTCACTGGGGCCAGTGGCCTTCCCCCTTTGATGGCCACCATAGGTACGTCTTGTGGTAGTGAATTCTGCATCCCACATGCCATGTATAGACTACCCAGTTTCTCTCTGTTCCACTAAGCACCACAGTGCTTCACCCAGGATGGAAGTACCCTTCTGGATTTTACAGTTTTCAAATTGGGAGATTGGATGATTCTCCCTTCCTTGCTCCTCGCAATCGTAAGGGCAACTCCTGGTAACTTCCACAGGACCTGTGAGAGTTGAATTTGAATGTCTGCAGATCCCTCCTCCCTCGCTTCATCTAGGGGCCTGGATTCTGCCGAAGCTGCACTTTCACCATCACCCAGCACACAAATGCACCTGCTTTTTTTTTTTTTTAAACTTCTTGCTTGATGTAAACTGGAGCTAGAGAAAGTTTACATATTTTTGGTCATTCTTTGGTTGCACTGATACAGATTTTGGAATTTTTTTTGAAAATTTTTATTAAAATTTTAAACTGATACAACAGACATCTATCGTCACACACATCGAACTTACTGGGTCAGCCTCCTACTACATATCGTTTAACATTCTATGATCACACTCAAATCCATTTATAATAGCTTGAAAGCATCTTTAGATACAAACCAAGTCCTGTTTCTCCAGCCAAACAAAAAAGAGAAATAATTCCAAATTTGATAGAAGTCACTATCTTCCTTCTCTTTCATCAGTAAAAACAGTCCCTTCATTTCTTGCAAAATCCTGTTTCTCTTGACCAATGTTAAAGGGAAGCATCTCCAGGTTGAATAAAAGTGCAATCTCTTCTTTTCTTCTTTAATGATAAGCTCATTCTAAACATTTTTAGACAATTCAGAATCTTTTCATTTTTCTAATGGTAGACAGATAACTTCCTCATTACCCAATTACAAATAGCATCAAAAACATCCATTTAACATCTCTAAAGGCATCTTAGCTACTCTGTTTGTTGGTAGCTAATACCTATGATATCATTTAGTCAAATATAGTTAACTCCATACAAAAACCCAACTATTTACAGTCTTCAACATATCCCATATCCCATATCAACCTGCCAACCCAAGATTCTGGAAATTTTTGAAGGGCCATCTTTGCTTTTCATGCTGAATCAGTAAACTGTAGACTCTATAGAAATATAATAATAATAATAATAATAATAATAATAATAATAATAATAATAATAATATAATAATAGTCATTCTACGCCCAACAGCAGGGGTGGAAACCCTGTGGTTTCCAGATATTGTTGGATGCAGATTCCTATCAGTTCTATCTGTCATTTTGAGGCAGGTTGTAAATCTGGACTGTCACAGGTGTCCAAGCTCCTTCCCTAAGGCAATTACTTCCACCATAATTAGCAGATAATCTTTGCTTGGATGTTGCTTACCTATTTACCCAGCACCTATTCAGCCAAGGTGTTCAGCTTCTTGAGGCAAAGGGCAGGTGGCTGTCCGTCCTCCATGCCCCAATTTCATTCTGTGCACGGACTCAGCTGGATTGAAACCTGATTCATTGCAACTCTGGCAAGAGGACAATGTACCCCACCACACCGGGGCAGCACCCCACACCTAACATGGGGTGCAAGGCCAGGGAACTTGGGGAAGTGAATGGTAGAGCCAATCCTCTTGGATAGAATTATTTCTCCTGTCTCTTTGTCTCAATTTTTAAAAGTGGGCGAAGTCGTCCTTTGGTTTTTAAAAGTTGTCCTTTGGTTTTTATACAAACTTGGTGTTAAAACTCAGGTGCCTTCTGTGCTCAAGATCACATATGTGGGCAATGTAGCAACAGGGATTTTTAAAAAAATGGCCACCAGAGGGCAGCACCGCATATCATTTTCTCTCTTTGCTTAGCATCCACTCTATTACATATTAGACGTGCTGTCCTTATTCCCTGCGCCTTAGTAGGACAGAATTCAGGGTACTGGAGCAAGGATATTGAAGAGCCTCTTCCCTGGTAGTATTTTAGATGTGTTTTTATATCACAAGCCCATATATGACATACCATGTGCTAAATAAAATACTGGTAGCACAAATCTTTCAGTACACAGATGGGTTGAAACATGCATGCAAGACCTTAACTATAGGCCACACATACATTCCCAAATACATCCATTCAGGTCTGCTTCCCAAATGACACGTCATTTGCAGACCTTCCTGGCGGTGGTGTAGGCACAAAGTTGTTAAGCTTTGTTAAAGTTTCTCTTCCAAGAATAGTTCGTTGTTTGTTCATTTATTGCACTTTCATACTTCCTACAAATCTGCTTTATCTGGGCAACATATGGGTGAATAAAAATGTAAAATATAATTACAAAGACAGCATGTAATTAAGCCAAGGGACAACCAGCAGCAAAGGGTAAAAACCATGCAGCACATAAAAGCAACAGCCGCAGCCACAGCAGCAAGAGAAACTGCAAAGAAGCAGAAGCACTAGAAACAGCCCTTAGCCTGGCTGGGAGAATGAAACGATTTCCTTCCTTGGCAGTTTATAGTGCCACTGACAGTGGGCATAGAGCCCATTCAGAGTAACAGGGTTGTGGATCCCGGATGCATTGCCCCACTGCCTGCTGGCCAAATCAAATCCAGTTGGTTGCATCATGCAGCAAAGGTAGCATGTTTGGAATGTGTTTGGCAGGGATCATTTATGGCACGAGACCCAGACTGAAATAGCAGCAGCAAAGTGAAATACTGTCAGAAAACTGGAGTGAAAGAACATCTAATAGGAACCATCCCCCCTCCCCTGCCTGCCTTCCAAAAGCACCCCCTCGGGCCTGAAAATCCTTCTGATCAATTGCTCTGAAGCTCCCTCTAGATGCTCAAGCCTCACGTGCTGAGGAAGAGGACTGGCCCACGGTCCCAACCCATCAGTTACGGCCCTGTTACGTTTCCTCATGCTGTTCATGGACATGTCTCACTCTGCACCTTCCGTAATGTGACCGAGAGGGGAGAGTCCTCCTGCGCGTTATCTCTGTGAATGCTCATCTACATGCAAAGAATGGACACCCCTTCCAGTCGCTTAACGGTGTGTGGGGGGCGGGGGGTGGAGAGAGTTCTGGCATCTGTTCAGAGTTTTCTGAATCGCTCTCTTTCCAAATGACTCCATATGTAGATGGAGTATTGCTAAAGTAGCTGCCATTCAGTCAATAACCTCAAGTGTTGTATAACAGTTTTTCCTCTCTGCAGTACACTGGAAAGGAACAATTTAATGGCTCATTGGGATTACTTTGTCAACTAATGGCACAGGCAGCATCTTTCATGTCTTGGTTTGAACTAATGGCAAACTAATTCACTGAACTTCTCTTGGTCTAAAA